TACAGTGATTATGAATTCATAGTCAAAATTTTTATACTATAAAAATCATTATTGATGAATCTCGAATAAAAACTGAAAATTTCCCTCATCCCATGAATTAAACGTTTTAATTCATCATTAAATCAAATTTTCTGTCAGTACCAGCTAGCATGTCTTATCCATCAACATTTTTCTTAGATTTCCCAAATATTATTTCCAACATACTAAATACAAGCCAGCTGTTATTAAAAAACAAACTTGATATTTTCTGGAAATAAGAAAGTATCGATAAGGTTTAATCAGCAACTATTCAAAACACTAAATAAACAATTTTCAGGTTATACTGTACCACACCTCCATTTCTTCAGCGAGATTAGGAAAGGACACCAGGGACCACATCTCTGTTTCCTCCGGCTCGGTCAAGTCTAATTCTAGGTACTCTTCAATAAGAGGCAATGCTGTAAATGACTTAAAGAGCTCTGGTGTGAATGCTGGCACGCCTGGGACATCATCGTGACCCGCTAAAGGGCCTACAACAGGAGCGCTAGGCTGTGTCTTCTCCAAGCTTTAGAGGTACAAAATGTCTAGAGTTAGATGAGGTGGGAAACACTGGGTTTGCAACTGAAGAGACATTTGATTGACAAGGATATCAGGTAAGCAATTATAATGCATCAAGTGATCAAAGGTGATTCGGATGCAAAACTGATGGCCCACGAGTTGAAGATGGTAATGCATCTTGAGAGATGTGAAGTGGAGACACGAGACGTGCATTTAAAATACTGCAGTAGTCATTCATTATGATAAGAGGGCATAGAGCAAGCATCACTGGCTAGGCAAATTGAACGTATGAGAGTCTGGAGCCTTCTGATTAGTCATATTTACATGAAAAAAAAAACAGCCTCAGAATTTCATTTCAGAATGGAATAGTAACCTCTCCAGAGAAGTTCTGACAATAAAAGTTTTTGGTTTTGCTTTTTTAAAAACAACAACAACAACAACAACAACAACAAACAAGCCAACTCCAAGTTCAGAGTAAGTTTCCTTTGAGGTAAGGGTTGCAGTGTAAACTGAGGCACAGGCTTTGACAGTGTCCATGTTGCACAGGCACAGCATTTCTATAGCTCATTTAGTGCTGGAAGGACAAATCACTTCCTGGCTGACACCTGTGTTATTCCCCCATGTTGGGACATTGCAACATCTTCATACCGAGTTACCAAGTGATGCTTACCATCATAGGCACGCCATGGACAAAAGCTCCTACTACATGAGCCAACCAGGCAAAACAGAAAACTTCCCTACTTTTTTTTTCTCAAGATCCTTCTTTAAAAAAAGAAAAAAAAAAGATCCTTCTTAGGGTAACTTGCTTAACACTGTTTTCACACTTTCAAGACACACTCCAGCCATGACCCTCCTCTTTAGGGTGAAAACAAAATCCTCACAGGTGTTTCTGTATACACTGAATTTTAAATTATCAACAAGACACACTCCAGCCATGACCCTCCTCTTTAGGGTGAAAACAAAATCCTCACAGGTGTTTCTGTATACACTGAATTTTAAATTATCAACTCAAATATAGAAGAGCAAATTTGATATTATCTATTGTGATACAAGATGTATAATAATACAATCTTATGTAAGAAAAATCTAAGCTTCAAAGTGTATAATATATTACAACCGAAGGTATTCTAAAAATGAAATTTATAGAAAATATAAATATTGAAAATATAAAACTCAATATTTAGAGTTGTCCACGTGTGTGTGTGTGTGTGTGTGTGTGTGCACATATACACACATGTGGGCATGTGCGTGGAGGCCAGAGGATAACTATGGTTGACATACTCATAATTGATTCCTACCTCATTTGAAACAGGGTCTTTGTGGGCCCAGAGCTCACCAATTAAGCAATTAAGCTAGGTTGGCTAGAAAGAGAGACCAAAGGCCAGTTTCTTTTGCCTCTCCAGTGCTAAGATTTCAGATGTATACCACCATGCCCTGATTCTGTCTTTGTCTCTTCTGAGGACCAAATTCAGGTTTTCCCACTTGCAAGATAAGCACGTTACTAACTGAATATTTCCTTAGTTCTAGTACAAACATTAATAGTTTAAAAATTACAAATGTCATTGGTCAAAATCTTCAGAGTAATGTGTTCTACAACAATTAATTATTCAATTAAAGAGAAGCTCAGAAGGTTTAGTAGTCCACATTATTATAAGACTGCAAAAGCCATAGTTTAAAGATACTTGGATTAATTTTCCTGGAGAAAATATGAGTGGTGGATCACTAAAAAAAGCCTGTGTGTGATAGTTCACACAGGAAGTGTTGACTGTGTACCTAGCTCCACCATTTTAATGATAGACATCATTAAAAATAGAACTTGAGCTATAAGAAAACTATATAAGACAAATCCAAACTATTCTAATAGTGGGAAAATTACTCTTTAGTGTAAATGATCAACAGGGTTTCTCTTCAGTGGTTTCTCTTCACCACTTTATAGCTTGGCCAAGACATGGTCTTCTGTGAATGCCTACAATATTGGACTTGACTGCTTTTCCCATGCACCTTTCCCAGCTCAAGAGTTCTAGAAGTACCTATTTTTTTTATGAACATATAAATTACTATGTGGACAAGCTCCTTCCCCTCCTATACTTCCTATTATTCATCCGCGGCCCCTAGTAGAAACATATACCGTTGAGATCTATGAGAGCCTAGGGTACTCCATGTGTTTGGCTACTACTTTGTATAAAGTCCTCGATGAAGCTTATTATATAAAGATGTGGTATAGGACTCATTTGGTTATTACTGTTTTTGAACACAGAAGTTTTATGCCACTCTCAAGATGGGAAATGATTCATGTGAAGTCTTATACCAGACAAGTGAGTTGCTATGGCCTGTATCTCAGTGACTGTGTTGTAGATAGTTTCAAAAGCTCCACAAAGGACAAATTACTTGGTCAAAGTGGAACCGAAAATTACATAACCACAGATATACGGGACAGAATAACCCGGGAATAACAAAATGGCCATGGAGGTAGAATGGTTTCTTGAAAACATTGGAGCAGAAGATTTGATAGAGATGTATTCACAAATTGATTGTCAATTCCCAAGTTACAGGCTGTTATATAATGTAAAGACCCTTCACTAGGTTGAACTCCAGAGTGACCATGGTTTGGGTGTGCGGGGAAATCACTATATTAGGAATAAAGAGTTTTATTTGTCTTTTCCCCTTGCTTCAACCACACTGCAAAGTGAGTACAACATATTATTTATTTAAAACATAGACATCATTCTTGCATTAGGATAGCTCTCCTAAATAAACCATTCAATAAAATGGGGTGTCTACATTATATATCTACGGAGCATTAACAGATGTGTTTGTCAGGCATGCATATTTCTGAGTCTGGGGAATGGTTGGAGAGTATGTCAAGGGAGACAGCAAATATGTTTCTATTCCAGATAGGGAGCAGACACCCAGAGCAGCTCTCTGTGACTCGTTAAGGATATGGGATCTAGTCTATGTAACTCCCATGATACTGGATTTCCACCTTCACCTACTGCATCTGGTGAACCTGCTAACTGATATCTTCTCTTCTATTGGCCAATACTTAGAAACCAGTTTGTTCAAAGCCAGGTGATGGGGAGAATTATGGTAATGAGACCCAAGCACAATGGCAAGACACAGCAGAGGCAGTTAGTTCTTCATCTCTGGGTGGCATGGGTGACTCTCTTACTTCCCCTTTCATGACTCGGAAGAGATGACTCCTCAGGAATTCTAGGTGGGATCATGTGTGTGCTGCTCCACCTTCATGCGAATTTTTATAACGAGGCCATTGCCCTGACCAGAAAGTTCTTCCATGTATGTGGTTGACTGGGTATTCCCTATTATCTTCCAATTCCCCTATCATTTGGTAATGATATGTGAAGAGGGTATGTGAAGAGGGGTTCCCTTTTTGGAACATTTTCAGGGATGAACCCAACTGTGCCAGTTTATGTACACATCTCCATAGAATGGTGTCTTCCTTGAGGATATTTTACCTCCACTGTTTCTTATATTACTAGATTTCTTCTAGAAAACCTCTCTTATGTCTAAGTCACTAGTTATAGACTAAGGCCAATACAAAGGGCAACAGTTAACTGAATGAATAAGGAAGTCTCCTCTGGAGTCCATAATGGGAATATAAACTTTTACTTGCAGAATTGTAACCAAATAAAATCACTTTGGTTTATTGCATAGTTAGATCTAAATCATCCTTCCCCATGACACATGTCTGGACCGTTGGTGCTCAGATGGTGGATGGTTTGGGATATGAGGTCTGACTGAAGGCAGGGGGTCACTGAAGCTGAGTTTATAGGCCCAGCCAACATGACAGTTCCTGCTGTGACACTGTGGGCTCTGGCGGGCTCTTCCTCCTCTGGGTTGCTTCTTGTGTTTGGTAATAGCGATGAGAATAGTACAGATAGGGATTTTAAAAAATTGTTTTCACTGTCTTTTCTATTCTATTCTAAAGTCATTGTGTGCATTTGTTTTATTTTGTTTTCCAGACCCTCTCCTGTTTGTATGTAGACATAAGAAAAGGGGTCTATCTGCCTTTGCTGCATATGAATGTCATAACTAGAGAATGATTGGCATTTGGAAGTGACAAAAATATGTGTTGAGCAAGTGATAAATGAATGAAATAAACTTAGCAGCTAATAATTTATGGAAGAAAACCAGCATAGATTAACACTTTTTTCATTTTTGTCATCTTGTGATTTATAATAGGCCTCTGTAGTATTGGGGAGAAAAACTTTCCATGAAAATATTCTGAATAATGAAGGTTGGATGTATAACTCTTAAAAATGAAACACCAAGAAATAGTTTACATTTTCATGCCTTGAAGGTTAAGTTTCAATGTGAAACACTTTATAAAGTCTAACAATGCATATGCGTGAGGCAATAAACTATTAAAATCTGTTGTCTGATTAAATATTTATCACTAGCTCATTGCCTAAGCCAAAATAAACTGCTAATCATGCCACATGCAGAAGAATGTTCTTTATTGTAAGCAATGCCATATGTCTGCGAAGGTGGGGTCTCCTTTCGCTCCCATCCACTCTCGGAAGGTCGGGGGGCTTCCAAAGTATTTCACAAATTCTATTTGGATCTAAGGAGCAACCCAAAATGAAGGCTGGTGAATCATACTGTGTGCCATGTGCTTAGCAGTTTGAATTTTAAACATATTTAGCAATACTTAAAATACATCTGTTAATAGGCAATTCTATAAGGTATACCAAGCCAAAATGTCATAGTTCTCAGTATTGCCTTTAGCCTATACTACAAACAATACAAATCTCTGGGTTTCTCCTTGAGCACTGTAACGGCGTAAACGAATGCAGACAGATTGTAAATATATATTACAGAACCACCGTTCCTGCGGAGACCAGGAAAGCAGAAGCAGCGGCTGGGAGCATGCTTGCCAAATTTATAGGCAAACATTAGCCCGAGGCGAACACGCCCCCTAAGGGGCGGGACTTATCCCTACAGAGCACCTTAAGCAGAGTCTAAACAGGCTCATGTAGGTCTCACGATCTATCCATATGGGGACATCTTTTATCATATTGCCCTGTAAAGGCCAACCCATTGCTTCTGAAATTAAATGCTGTATAATTCTCGGCCTAGTCAAAGGTCTTTAGTGTGCACATTCAGCTTCTTCTGCGTGGGTCACATCTAACCTGTTCTACTGCTCAGACAGTGAGGGCAATAGTTATTGTTTGTCACCCTTCTGCATCCCTTACACTCCAGCCAAGATTTTGCATGGCATGAGAGTTCCTACAGCAACAATAAACTGAATGGAAATGAATAAAGTAATCTTCTGGGTGCAATGGGCTCTTCCCTGGTAATATGCTTCATATTACCTGCCAGTCCAGTGATCTCCCGTTTCATTCACTAGTCTCCATGGTGAGTCTCAAATCTGACTCACTGATAAATGTAAATGGGGTGTAACATCTCCTGAGGAATTATTTAAAGGTGTACAGCAGGTGATAAGATTTGCTTTTAAAATTTATTTATTTGAGGCAGGATCTCACTCTGTAGCACTGATGGCTTGGAAATCCCTCTATTGACCAGCCTACCCTTGACCTCACAAGGTCTTTTGGCTTCTCCTTTCTGAGAGCTGGGATTAAAGGCATGCACCATTAAGGCCAGCCTGAGACTGCTTTCTTAATGCTTCCATTGAGATTGCTATAAGATATGGTTTTAAAGTCCATGGCTCTGTTTTCTGAGATGTGGTTTACTAACGTAGTTTACTGGGTTTGTCAACAGCAATATTAAAACAAGTTGAATCAATGCTCATCACTTCCTTCTCAGACAGTACAGAACTTCCAAAGCCTACTCGTCATCGCGTTATTTTAGAGAAGCCATAGAACTATGCCGTACTCCCGACCGCCCCAGCCTGAGTATGACAGCATCCTGCTTGGTTTCTCTTTCCAGACAGTTCTTGAGATGGTTAAGCTTCCACCGGGAGTCTAATTATTAGTACTTTTTCTTATGATCTCACTATGTTTATGATGCTGACTACGCATTTTAAAATCCAAACAGACAAATCAGAAGTCCTTCCCATAGTAAGGTAGCAAAGGGAAAGGGAAAGCAATGTCTAGTTTTTGCTGAAATAGAAAAAAGGCACATACTTTGAAGATATATAAAAAAAACCCACAAACATTAAAAAGGGGACCCAATGCCTGCTAATTGGCTTGGGCCTGTGACCAAGGAAATCTAAAGATGGTAAGAAAGCATAGAAGCACACACTTCCAAGCATTCTCTTCTATTTTCTGCAAGGTGATCAAAGTAAAAACTTTATGTACAAGGCTTTGTATAATTAAGGAATAAATAAATAAACACTGGCAATTTATTTGTACTCAGTAAAAACCTAACTCTCCCAACAGAATGTGCTGTGTGGTAAGTACCCTTGCCTAAGGAACACTGTCCCCGACTGAGCAGGTTTGGTAGTAATCACAGCATGCTAACCAAAGAGACTCAAGGGGGAAAGCTGTATGGTTTCCTTGGGTGATTCGAGCAGGCACCAAAACGTTTATGGCTGGGACAACGAAAGACAGAGTTGGGTTGAGTTGTTCATAGATCTAGGTCACGTAGTTGATAACTAAATTCAAAGTAAGAGTCAGTTCATTGTTCTAGAAATCCAATCATGCTTTAAACCAGGTCCTTAATATAAAGTTATCCTAAAATTTTGAGTTTTTGGTTGCTCCTAACCTCCATTTTTTGACATCTAAAGTTTCAAACATTTTGTATGTGAAGTTAGTTGTCCAAAGTAATGGCACAGAGCAAGTGATGGTATAAAGACTTGGTTTGCTATTTTAATGCTTACATATATAAACTGATGAAATTGTGAAAAGACAGAACAAACAAGAAATGTTTTACCTTTCATCAACTCACCTTTTGCTTTTCTCAGGTGGCACCTGGAATAAACACAAAATTAAATTTATGTGTAAAAATATGTGTAGGCAACATTTACAATGAATTGCTTAGAAAAAAATACTCAGAATAATTTTCCTGCCCCTCCCTGTCATTGACACAGATCAAAGTAGTCTTGGCTAGCCGGGAGCTTACTATGCAACCCAGGCTGGTCTTGAATTCATAAAGATCTGCCTGCCTTGGCCTCCCAAATTATGAGATTAAAGGCACTCATCACAATGCATCAAAACAGTTTTCTAATATGACAATCATATAAGGCATATGCTACAAAGTCTGAGAAATTATATTTTGGTATTAGAAGAGATTATGGAAAAACTATCACTGAAACTTACATTTCTTAATTAAGAGCCAATAGTGGTTTTTAAATAATAATATTAGTAGATGAAATTTTTTAAAAGTATCCTTTGCAATATTATTTTAAATGAATGTGCCGTTGTTTATTGTAGTAATGCACTAACACGATGGTCCTTTTAGAATTTCTGTATTTTAAGTGGCCATTGAGTATGCCTACTAGAATACTGATTGAGGTGTTTGATCAGAGTGTAACCTGTGGCCTAACAAATGTGATTTTATTAATAGAAGAATTCCTTTGGGCAAAGTAACGGGCATTTTTCTGTCACATAGACGTTGACACTGGGTTCCATGCCAGGCCTGAAGATCAACTAGTTTTGCTTCTTTCATATGGACATCTTTGCCCACCTGCAGCAGACTTCTGGAAGTTCATCAAACGGATTCCCTTGTCTTCTTAGACATTTTGCTAGTCTGCATCTCTAAGCTTCCTACAGCTTAAATGTGGCGAGCGGAAAGTTCCTCAGGCCAGCCCTGTGCAGCGAGGCTGAGGGTGGTACCAGCTGCCACTTGCATGATGGTGAAGATTCTATGCACCAGGACACATGAATGCCCGCAGAGAGCTCTCCAACAGATGCTGCCCCTGGTCAGCCCTCAGTGATGAACTGGTATGGTAGAGCCATTTCATGTTTTGTGTCTGTCACAAGAATCAAGCAGCACGCTAATATATCATAATTGATTTTAGTGCAGCCATGCAGAGAATGGTGGCTGAGATAAAAAGCATCAGGAACACATGCAGCAGTGCTCAGAAAATACATAAGCAGTTCGTGAACATTATGTCATTTTATACTAATTCTTTAAAGTGCTACCATATCCATTTAATTAAAGACTGACAGATGTGCTCAGCTCCTGACAGATATAATAGCAATTCTGTCCTCTTACTAATTTAAGCAATATTGCAAGCCAGCCACTCTTTTTCCCCTCATATTTAAGATCACAGGACAGAAGACAGCACTCAGTAGCAGAGGTGCAATATTTTCCTTTTGTTATTGCTTGGCTTTATATTTTTATCTCCTGACACAGGAGATGACAAGGTATTTACGTGAAATCCAGGTCCCAGAACTGATACCCAGTCTCCCACAGCAGACACAGAACTTACTCTGGACAGTAACCATGCCACAGCCAGCCAGGAGTGCTGGCATACCAAGAGAGGGACAATAACAGAAACAGGGGTAAACTTACTTACCATATACGCAAAGGACTTTAAAACCATGGGCTTAATAAAGGAGAATTATCCACGTGTCTTAGCAACTTATCATTTGTTTGCTTTAAACATACAGGTATTTATACATCACTCCTTTGCCTAAAATCTTTCCATGGTTCTTTCTGTCTTGAGTATCGAAAGCCAAACTGCTCCATTTAGTGCCCAGTTCAGGATGGTCACAATCTCACTCAATCTACTTTTAGCAAACAATCTCTCAAACGCTGGCCACACGCTCATTCCAGTGAAGGACTTCTCTTGTGTATGGTCTCGCCATAACCAAAAGTTCCCTAGGAAACTAAGCCTTTCTGATGCAGGGGATGTAGTGAGGTGGAGAACTTGTCATTTCCAAGATCAAGCACGACTTGGTGTCTCATCTCTGTGTGGCTGTTTCCCTAGCTTCAGGATAGCCTTCTGTGATGGTTTCCTGACCCCATCACAGCCTTCCGGGGTGTGCAGACTGGGAGAGTTAATACCATTTGGGAAAGACAATAGCTTTACAGCTTTATAATTAAAATTAAAAGTTATTTAAAAAAATTCACCTCTGAGGGCAAGCTTTAATTCCCATGCATTTCTCTAAGTTGGTGTTGTAGGATGTAATTATGTAAGAAAAATAAAAACCTGTAGGGGTGTATGATATTAGAATGGCATACTACGAGCAAGGAAATTAATACCATAATGTCAAGGAGGGAGTGTTGAAAATCAATTTATTTCTTCTTAAATGAAAACTCAAGGCTTTTAACTAGAAAGAATAAAACAAAAAGCATAAAATCTCATCACAGAAAGAAAACTCAGTTATTTTGAGGTATGAACTTCGAAATGATGTTTAAATATAGCTAGAGTGTACGTGATGCATTCTTGCCGTTATTTTTTTTTTTAAAGGCAAGGCACTGATCCTTAAGACCACAGCCTACCCAGGCCTGAAGTGATAACAAGTACATCCTACTCTATGTGGATCCTAAGGCCAGAGCAGTCAAAGCTGATACTGTGAGTGCCCCCACCCCTAAAGAGACCAAGATCTAGAAGGCCCAGCTAAGGCACACATTTGACCCACAAATCTGAGAGAATCGTGTGTGCTGTCTGGACCAGGAAGTCCTGTGGGAACTTATTACACAGCCAAAGATAACTAATTGGAATGCTACTTTTTATTCTTCACCTTTTTGTTTTTTTAAAAAAGATTTATTTATTTATTTATTTATTTATTTATTTATTATGTATAAAGTATTCCTCCTGAATGTATGCCTGCTGGCCAGAAGAGGGCACACAGATCTCACTATGGATGGTTGTGAGCCACTATGTGGTTGCTGGGAATTAAACTGGGGTCCTCTGGAAGGGCAGCCTCTGCTCTTAACCCCTCAGTCATCTTCCCTTCTTTTTGTAACAGAAAGATTTTAGAAAACAAGGGAGAAACAAGCAGAAGTGGCAAACTGGGAAAAGCCTAAACATATTAGAACACCAAGTGTTTCCCACTGACTTTGAGAGAACTTGTTGGCTACAGTGGAAGATGCATGTCAGTGTGCACATGTGAGCGTCGTCATGAGAGCACGCACGAAGACCTGCAGGCTGATCAAGGAAGAGGCTTAGTTCCCAGGAAAGGATTGGGTCCAACAGACCCAGAACAAAGTTCAAGAAAGCATTTCTGGGTCAGGGTTGTGTGTGGGGGGTGAGTTTCTGAATCCACAGTGCAACAGAAACAAAATAATCTTTAGAATTTTCCTCTATGATTTTGCATTTATATTGAATCTTATCCATTTTAAGCTTGTTATCTTTTTTCTTTAAAACCCTATTTCTTCCTGTTCTCAAATAAATGCTTAAATCATCATCCAAAATTGTTAACTTATAGTTGGTATTTCAGATGGTAATGAATCCATATATCTAAAGAGTAAAAGTAAGAAATCCAAATAAATAAAAGCAATTTATGCAAGTAAAGTACAAAAGGATATGAAAATAGATTTCTTGTAGACTACATACCGACTGCCTAGTTCAGTTTCTCCCTCACCTGGTCATAGTTCTGCTGTTGTCTATCCAGCTGGGCATCTTTCTCCATTGATTGGGAATATTTGGAATCCTCACGCGTACCCTTCGATCTACTAATACCCCGTTCCACGTTCGTTTTACTCCTCTCGTCTTTAAGCATCTCCATCTCATGCTGTAGGACGTATTCGAGTTGGTTCTTGTTTTTTTCAGCTTCCTGTTGGTGAGAAAGCAGTTTCGCCATTGGTCCAGCTTCAGTTACATCTCCTCGCCAAAGGGCATCGTTCAGGAATCTATGCTCACTGCCACCAATGTTTTCTCTAGTTGACCCAAGGAAGCTGAGTTAAACAATCAGGGGTAATGTGGCAGCTTTACAATTAGCATCAATAGAGCTATGAGGAGGCTGGGAAAAAAGAACAGTAATTTAAAAAAGCTTCCACTTTTATTAAAACAAAGCCCAGGCATTTTTCCAGGTTTTGATTTTTAAGGTCATGATGAACAGTGGCACCCCAGAAAGTCCTCAACATGGGGGTGCTTACAGTGTCAAGGATCAGAATTTATTCTACAAAGGAAAAGATGAAAAAGAAAAGTCCTCCCCACATAGAAAAGCCACTCAACATTTATATGGACTCACTGGTAAGTCTATGGATATACATTTTGATTTTATGTATACTGTATTATGCTATACACATATAGTATTTTCATTAAAATGTTATTTTTTTACAACAAAATATATTTTCACCAGAACAGATAATAGAATATATTTGGCAACATGCTGTTATTTAATTTGTAAATACTGTACCAGTGCTTTGGTCAATTCAAACCTTTTTCTATTAAAATTCCTTATACCTTAATTGGAATTTTCTGTACATTTTTTCTTTAGAATAAACTTTTAGAAGTGAACTTAATAAATGAAATGGCTTCATTTCCCCCAAGATGTTCACCGTTAGTTTCTTTCAAAGAAGTAACAATTCGGAGGACGCGGCGAAGAGGCTCGGCAATCAGGAATAGGCTTTGGGGGACCGGTGCTGCAGCAGACGCAAGTGGCGGGATGGGCGCGCAATAACAAGAGCAGATCGCCCTACTACAATTAAATCAAAGAGGTAGGCCTTTTGTTGGCGAGGTCACTGGCAAACGGGGAGCCTGGTCCTGTTCCTGAAGACCCTTCGGAGGGTTGAGAGGGTTCTTGGCCTGCACAGGAACCAGGAAACAGAGCAAGGGCATTTTGTAAGCGGAGCCCTTGGCCAGCAGGGAAACCTGATCCGGTTTTAAAAGACCCATTAGATAGGATCAATAGGAGGAGATGGGCAGGCACCAAGGCAAGAATTCACCCAATAATCTGAAAAACAACATGAAAACACCAGAACCCAATGATCTTACAACAAAAGTATTTGAACACCCTCACATGGAGAAGTGGGAAAAATTGACTTTATGAAAGCAATAGAGTCCCTTAAACAACATGTAAAAAATGCCCTTATAGAAATGGATGAGAAGTATAACATAAAGTTTGAAGAAATGAGTAAATACATACAAGATACCCTGGGAAACCAAGAAAAAATGATCAAACAGGTAAGGGAAAAGTTCAAGAATTGAAAACTGAAATGAAGGCAAGAAAGAAAACACAAACTGAGGACCAGCTGGATATGGAAAATCTAGGTCAACGAGCAGAGTCTACAGAAACAAGCATAATCAATAGAATACAAGAGATAGAAGAAAGAATCTTGGATTCTGAGGACACCATAGAGAAAATAAATGCACAGATCAAAGAAAATAGCAAAGCCAACAAATTCTCAACACAAAACATTCAGGAAATATGGGACACAATAAAAAGACCAAACCTAAGAATAATAGGAATAGAAGAAGGAGAAGAGTCACAGCTCAAAGGCCTAGAAAATATTTTTAACAAAATTATGGAAGAAAACTTTCCCAACATAAAGAAAGATATTCATTTAAATATTCAAGAAGCATATAGAACACCAAACAGACTGGATCAAAGAAAAACATCTCCTCGCCATATAATAATCAAAACACAAAATATACAGGTTAAAGAAAGAATATTAAGAGCTGCAAAGGAAAAAGGCCAAGTAACTTATAAAGGTAAACCGATCAGACTTACACCTGACTTCTCTATGGAAACCATGAAAATCAGAAGGTCCTGGATAGATGTACTGCAGAAGCTAAGAGACCACGGATGCAAACCCAAACTACTATACCCAGCCAAGCTATCATTCACTATCAATGGAGAAAACAAGACATTCTAGGATAAGAACAAATTTAAACAATACGTAGCCACAAATCCAACCCTACAGAAAGTAATAGAAGGAAAATCACAACCCAAGGGATCCAACATTGCCAACACTCCCTACAATAACTCAGGCATCTAGCGACCCTTCACTAGCACATCTCAAAGAAGGGAGACACACAAACTCTACTACCAAAAACAGTAAGAATAACCAGAGTAAACAACCACTGGTCATTAATATCACTTAATATTAATGGGCTCAATTCACCTATAAAAAGGCACAGGCTAAGAGATTGGATACGAAAACAGGATCCAACATTCTGCTGTTTGCAAGAAACACATCTCAACCACAAAGACAGGCATCTACTCAGAGTAAAGGGTTGGGAAAAGGTGTTTCAAGCAAATGGTCCTAAGAAAAAAGCAGGTGTGGCCATACTAATTTCTAACAAAACTGACTTCAAACTAAAATCAATCAGAAGAGATCAAGATGGACACTATATACTCATAACAGGAACAATTCATCAGGATGATGTCTCAATCCTGAATATCTATGCCCCTAATATAAAAGCACCCACTTATGTAAAAGAAATATTACTAGAACTCAAGGCAGACATCAAACCACACACACTAGTAGTAGGAGACTTCAACACACCTCTCTCTCCAAGGGACAGGTCAATCAGACAGAAACCTAATAGAGAATTAAGAGAATTATTGGAGGTAATGAAGCAAATGGACTTAACAGACATCTATAGAACATTCCACCCAAATAGGAAAGAATATACCTTCTTCTCTGCAGCTCATGGAACCTTCTCGAAAATTGACCACATACTTGGAAACAAAGGAAACCTCCACAAATACAAGAAAAATATCAGTGTCCACCTGTGTCTTATCTGATCACCACGGATTAAAGTTAGAAGGCAACAACAATGCTACCCACAGAAAGCCAACAAACTCATAGAAACTGAACAGTCAACTACTGAACCACACCTGGGTCAAGGAAGAAATTAAGAAAGAAATTAAAGTCTTCCTTGAATTTAATGGAAATAAAGAGACAACATACTCAAACCTATGGGACATGATAAAAGCAGTGCTAAGATGAAAGTTCATAGCACTAAGTGCCCACTTAAGGAAAACGGAGAATGCATACATTGGGGACTTAACAACACACCTGAAAGCTCTAGAAAAAAAAGAAGCAGACGTGCCCAGGAGAAGTAGAAGACTGGAAATAATAAAACTGAGGGCGGAAATCAACAAAATAGAAACACAGAAAACAGTCCAAAGAATCAATGAAACAAAAAGTTGGTTCTTGGAGAAAATCAACAAGATCGACAAACCCCTATCCAAACTAATTAAACGACAGAGAGAGAACACGCAAATAAATAAGATCAGAAATGAAAAGGGGGATATAACTACAGACACAGAGGAAATTCAGAGAATCATTAGATCTTACTACAAAAGCCTGTATGCGACAAAACTGGAAAATACAAAAGAAATGGACTTTTTTTTTTAAAAAAAATAAGTACCATATACCAAAGCTATACCAAGACCAGGTGAATGATCTAAATAGACCTGTTAGTCACGAAGAATTAGAAATGGTTATCAAAAATCTCCCTTCGAAAAAAAGCCCAGGACCAGATGGTTTCAATGCAGAATTCTACCAGAATTTCCAAGAAGAACTAATACCTATGCTCCTTAATGTATTTCACAATATAGAAACAGAAGAGTCATTGCCAAATTCCTTTTTTCTTTTTTTTTTTTTTTGGATTTTTCAAGACAGGGTTTCTCCGTAGCTTTTGGTTCCTGTCCTGGAACTAGCTCTTGTAGACCAGGCTGGCCTCGAACTCCCAGAGATCCGCCTGCCTCTGCCTCCCAAGTGCTGGGATTAAAGGCGTGCGCCACCACCGCCCGGCGCCAAATTCCTTTTATGAAGCTACAGTTACCCTGATACCAAAACCACACAAAGACCCAACCAAGAAAGAGAATTACAGGCCTATCTCACTCATGAATATCAACGCAAAAATTCTCAATAAAATACTGGCAAACCGAATCCAAGAACACATTAGAAAAATTATCCATTATGATCAAGTAGGCTTCATCCCAGAGATGCAGGGCTGGTTCAATATATGCAAATTTATCAATGTAATCCATCATATAAATAAACTGAAAGAAAAAAAACATATGATCATTTCATTAGATGCTGAAAAAGCATTTGACAAAATTCAACACCCCTTTATGATAAAGGTCTTGGAGAGATTAGGGATACAAGGGTCATACCTAAATATAATAAAAGCTATTTATAGCAAGCCGACAGCTAACATTAAATTAAATGGAGAAAAACTCAAAGCCATCCCACTAAAATCAGGAACACGACAAGGATGTCCACTCTCTCCATACCTCTTCAATATAGTGCTTGAAGTTCTAGCAATAGCAATAAGACAACATAAGGGGATCAAGGGGATTCGTATTGGAAAGGAAGAAGTTAAGCTTTCGTTATTTGCAGATGATATGATAGTATACATAAGCGACCCCAAAAACTCTACCAAAGAACTCCTACAGCTGATAAACACCTTTAGTAATGTGGCAGAATACAAGATCAACTCTAAAATATCAGTTGCCTTCCTATACACTAAGGATAAGGAAGCAGAGAGGGAAATCAGAGAAGCATCACCTTTCACGATAGCCACAAATAGCATAAAATATCTTGGGGTAATCTGACCAAGGAAGTGAAAGATCTATTTGACAAGAACTTTAAGTCTTTGAAGAAAGAAATTGAAGAGGACACCAGAAAATGGAAGGACCTCCCTTGTTCTTGGATTGGGAGGATCAACATAGTAAAAATGGCATTTCTACCAAAAGCAATCTATAGATTCAATGCAATCCCCATCAAAATCCCATCAAAATTCTTCACAGATCTGGAGAAGACAATAATCAACTTTATATGGAAAAACAAAAAACCCAGGATAGCCAAAACAATCTTATACAATACAGGGTTGTCTGGAGGCATTACCATCCCTGACTTCAAACTCTATTACAGAGCTACAGTATTGAAAACAGCTTGGTATTGGCATAAAAACAGAGAAGTTGACCAATGGAATCGAATAGAAGACCCTGACTTTAACCCACAAACCTATGAACACCTGATTTTCGATAAAGGAGCTAAAAGTATACAATGGAAAAAAGAGAGCATCTTCAACAAATTGTGCTGGCAAAACTGGATGTCAATCTGTAGAAGAATGAAAATAGATCCATATCTATCACCATGCACAAAACTCAAGTCCAAAAGGATTAAAGACCTCAATATCAGTCTGAACACACTGAACCTGATAGAAGAGAAAGTGGGAAGTACTCTACAACACATGGGCACAGGAGACCACTTCCTACGTATAACCCCAGCAGCACAGACATTAAGGGCCTCATTGAATAAATGGGACCTCCTGAGACTGAGAAGCTTCTGTAAAGCAAAGGACACTGTCACTAAGACAAAAAGCAACCCACTGACTGGGAGAAGATCTTCACCAACCCCGCAACAGACAAAGGTCTGATCTCCAAAATATATAAAGAACTCAAGAAACTAGACCGTAAAAGGCTAATCAACCCAATTATAAAATGGGGGCACTGAGCTGAACAGAGAATTCTCAACAGAAGAACTTCAAATGGCCAAAAGACACTTAAGGTCATGCTCAACTTCCCTAGCGATCAGGGAAATGCAAATCAAGACAACTTTAAGATACCATCTTACACCTGTCAGAATGGCTAAAATAAAAAACACCAATGATAACCTTTGCTGGAGAGGTTGTGGAGAAAGGGGTACACTCACCCATTGCTGGTGGGAATGCAAACTTGTGCAACCACTCTGGAAAGCAGTGTTTCGGTTTCTCAGGAAATTCGGGATCAACCTACCCCTGGACCCAGCAATACCACTCTTGGGAATATACCCAAGAGAGGCCTAACATACAACAAAAGTATATGCTCAACTATGTTCATAGCAGCATTGTTTGTAATAGCCAGAACCTGGAAACAACCTAGATGCCCCTCAATGGAAGAATGGATGAAGAAAGTATTGAATATATACATATTAGAGTATTACTCAGCAGTAAAAAACAAGGACTTCTTGAATTTTGCATACAAATGGATGGAAATAGAAAACACTATCCTGATTGAGGTAAGCCAGACCCAAAAAGAGGAACATGGGATGTACTCACTCATATTTGGTTTCTAGCCATAAATAAAGGACATTGAGCCTATAATTCATGATCCTAGAGAAGCTAAATAAGAAGGTGAATCCAAAGGCAAACATATAGGCATCCTCCTGAATATTAACCTTCATCAGGCGATGAAAGGAGACAGAGACAGAGACCCACATTGGGGCACCGGACTGAAATCCCAAGGTCCAAATCAGGAGCAGAAGGAGAGCGAGCACGAGCAAGGAACTCAGGACCGCGAGGGGTGCACCCACACACTGAGACAATGGGAATGTTCTATCGGGAACTCACCAAGGCCAGCTGGCCTGGGTCTGAAAAAGCATGGGATAAAACCGGACTTGCTGAACATAGCGGACAATGAGGACTACTGAGAACTCAAGAACAATGGCAATGGGTTTTTGATCCTACTGCACATACTGGCTTTGGGGGAGCCTAGGCAGTTTGGACGCTCACCTTACTAGACCTGGATGGAGGTGGGCGGTCCTTGGACTTCCCACAGGTCAGGGAACCCTGATTGCTCTTCGAGCTGATGAGGGAGGGGAACTTGGTAGGGGGAGGGGGAGGGAAATGGGAGGCGGTGGCAGGGAGGAGGCAGAAATCCTTAATAAATAAATAAATTAAAAAAAAGAAGTAATTCATGCTGATACAACAGAAACACGGGAAAGATTATTTCTTTTGGCAAATATTAGGTATATCTGTTCCTTACTTCCTAACAGAACTGCAGGTGAGTAGCGCCGCTTGGTAAAGTGAGATTCAATGATTAGCACCTAACTTTACATCCTACAGTAGCTGTCTTATGCTCAGCAATAACCACATCTGCACACACCAGCACATTTCTTTATGCTTATGTATCAATGTGAGAAACATGATGCACAGAAATAATGGTAGCATGAAACTTTCAAGCTGGGAAACTTATGTTTTTTCTCTCTTCATCTATGATCCTTCATAAAAAAAAACCAACTATCTGTACTTTTATTAAATGTTGTTCTAAATCATACTAATTTTTTGTATTACATTTTCTGAATGATGTAGTTCAATAAATATTTTAGATAAAAATCTATTGATTTTTTTATTATTTCATTATAAAACCTAGTCTCTTTGTTATTAGCTACCATTAAAATTATACAATAAATGAATTTTGTATTTTGATTAAAAAGTTATATAGAATATAGTTATGTGTGTAGCTATTTATATTCTTTCTATGTCCACTTATAGCTGTTTATACATAATTTCAATTTTCCCTTGGCTAGAATCGAGAAAGAGCAGAAACAGACAATATACTCATCTCATTAGCTTTAATTGGAACCAGGAGTCAGTTCTTCATTCCATTCTTGTCCGTGTGTATGGGCATCTGAGTGTGGGTATGTGCATGTTTGTGTGCAATTTCCTATGCAGCCCAGTAGAGGGTATCAGATCTGCTGGGGCTGGCTAAAGGCTGTTGTGAGCCATCAGACATGGGCTGGGAACCAGCCTCCAGTACTCAGCAAGAGCAGCATACACTTTTAATTGTGAGCCCTCTCTCCTCTTCTGACAAGAACTTACAAGTAAGTTGTGTATTGGCAGTTTGAAAGAGACTTTTTTCTTCATGGGAAAGGGCTTATTTTCCTTCTGAATTGCTGCTTTAGATAAGAATGAACATTGTGCCCTAAATATATTGCATGCATAAATGACTGTGTGCACCGATGTATTGTGCATATGTGTATGTGCGTGTGTAGTGTGTAAATATAAACTCAGCATGCGTATATATGCATATGCATGTATACAGGATGCACACTTGGTTTTGAAGACCCACGTTTAGAAAGCTCCTGCTGCGCATCCTCTGGGCTCACTGTCACTCAGAGGTACTCCCCTCACCTGCAAAGCCCATTTCAGTTGCTCCTGAAGGGCTTTCTTCTCCATCTTCAGCTCTTCTGCTTCTTTCTAGGAAGTAGAAAGAACGACATTTACTCTGGTGCTTTTCAGATTTACTTTCTGTGGTTATGACATGTCTCAAGTTCACTGATTGCCAGTAGGATGGTTTGAACACATCTCGCTAGAAAGCTCTCCTATGCAGTGGTGGATACCACCTGACGCCATATCTTCCTGTTGATTTCTCAAATGCATGCTAACCTCAAATCTGTAGATTATAACTACTGCAGTTGAAACATTTCCCATTTTCTCCAGGTCTGGCATATTTCAATGGAAATGTTTGAAATGTGACTAGACCAAGAATCTCCAGTTTTAAATTATAGTCCAGGTTTAGCAGAAATAAGTACATCACACATTCAGAAAACCTACGGTGGATATTGTTGAGAACTGTATCTAAATAAAGCCCTGTGTGTGCCTCTTGTGTGTCACGTCAAGCTCCTTGAGGACAATCTAGGCGGCATCTAACCACTGTGCACTCTGCACAAAAGAGAATCACCAACACCGATGTGTGAACAAGAGTAAGTGGTCCATGGAGGGAAAGGAGGCCTGGGTAGGATTCATGCCTTCATGGCCTTTGGTATGGGAGTAAGGCCCTACTTGAGTTGTATAAGGTACTCCAGGACTTAGAGAAAGCCTTTGTCTTTACAGCTTAAAAACAAGCGCAAAGTTTGGGACAATCCCAACTGTGAAAGACTCAGTGGACGTCATACAAAGGAGAAAACTGAAGACAAGGGTCCAATAATTTTGCATACAATCTGTCCACCCCTTTTTCTAACCTCTCAACCACACACACACAAAAAAGACTCAAAACAACCTGAAAAAAACCCAAAGAATTATATGTCTGGATAGACATATAATTTTTACTCACACTGAATCATGTTCATCAAAAGGACATAGCAGATCTCAGAGTTTCAACACACATTACTCACAATCAATAGTGGACTCACTATTAAGAGAAAAGAAACCAAAAAGAGACCCCAGGACAGTCCTGACTTTAGGATTATTACAGAACACTTTTAAAGCAGCCATCATGACAGTGCCCAATATGTCTATGAAGGAATTGACGGAGATCTCGTCAAACACAATAAATGGCCAAATGGCAGCAATGGTAGCATTCCCAATTAATCATGGTTTAAAAACTGAATGTGTGGACAGAACAGCAAGTTGGCTACGACATTGAAAGAGTGAAACCGTGTAGACACACCACTGTGAAATATGTAAATACAGAGATAACCCTTTAACAAATGTTTGAGGAGCATATAGAGTGATGTCGGATTTCTGTCACCCAACTGTATCTTTGTACAGGGACAGAAAGAGGTAGAAATGGGTTTGAACCCTTGGCAAATGTTACATACTCAAGATGGTGTGCACACTCCCACTTAGTGTGATAATAACAGTCATGGCCCCATGCAACAAAACTAAGCTGCTGAAAACAATAAAACAGCGACAACAAGAAAGGAAAACACAAACAAACCCAAGGCAGGAAATAGACAATGTGAAGGCTGCCTTTTGACAGAAACACTAACATCAAATAAAAATAAAAGACTGGGGCTGGAGAGATGGCTCAGTGGTTAAGAGCACTGACTGCTCTCCATGAGGTCCTGGGTTCAGTTCACAGCACCCACATGCTCGACACCCACAACAAAATACAAATGCACATAAAATAAATAAACTTTAAAAAAATAAATAAAAACATCTTAAAAGGGTAAAACAAATACCTGTAAATCTCCTTTAATAAAGCAATTGCTTTAATAAAAAGTTTGAAATCTGTATTATTATTCTTATTGAAATCTGAGCGGAAATAACATCTACTAAAACAAAACCATGTAGCAATGGAGACACAGAGCAAACAAACCTCCCACCACCAATCAGGGATCACAAGGAAATGGAGACTAGAAACGTATGGCAAAGAGGCCAGAAATCAAGTCAGGCTTTTAATGTGACTCAGACACCCTCAGAGGAGACCAGAGCTCCAAAAAGGCAAGTGAGCCTCCAAAGTGGGGTTCTTAAGAGGCAAAACAGAAGTGACAGGCAGAAGATAATTTTATATGACTTAAATATATAAACTCAGAGAGGGTGTATCTTACTTGGATTTGAACCAGATCAAGTTCTCTGCTTGGAGACTTCCTGTAATTAAAAATATTTAAAAAAATGTATCAAGATATTTGAAAACACACCACTGCTTTGCTTTCCCTAGGACTTTAGACCATTTAAAATCTTAAAAGAAATACATGCCTTTAACAGACACACACACACACATACACACACACGCAGAGAGAGGGAGAATACACATGTTCATATCACAGTGTATGCTTGGGGATCAACATTTTTTTAAAGAAAGTAAGAGTTTCTTTTATTTCTAAAGAGTCAGTTCTTCACTTTTACCTTGTGTTTGGGTCAGGGTCTCTTGTTTCTTCCTTTGCACCGCATATACGACCTGCTCCTGTCTCCCATCTCCCCCATGAGAGCGCTGGGATTATAGACATGAGCCATGCAGCTTTTTATGTGGGCCCCAGGAATCAAACTCAGGTTGTCGGGCCTATGTAGCAAGTGCTCTTACCCGCTGAGCCATCTCCTCAACCCCTCACACATTAAACTAATCATTAAATCCATGAGACTCAAGTAGTAAATAAAGTAATAACTCTCCTGAAGCCAACTTTTCAATGATACGATCAGAACATGACGTGGCTAAGATTTAGAAAGTGCACTAAATATTTATCTTCCCTGACCACGATTCTTCCAAGGGCAAATTTTGTGTCTAATAGTTTCTTTCCAGAAACTAACACTCTCTGCAAACACTGAATTCATTAAAAATCTTTATTGCAAATAAGGTATACCAAGAAAATTTAAATTACAATCACCAATTTAGAAATACATTCACTTAGAAGAACCATGTTACAATAATCCACTCATAAAAATAGCTAATTTTTTTTTATGAAACTGAACATAATTAAAACCTGCCACGGAAGAGAACAAGTTCCAAGAAAGAACCGATCACACATCTCGATGCCTCACCTTTCTGAATCTTTCTCTTTTTTCTTTTCTGACCTTGTGGATCTCTTGGTTCGATCTTCTTTACCTGATGGCTTTGCTTTCTGCACAGTTTTGAACAAGTCAAAATTAAAATAGTGCATGGGAGTATATGCTGCTGAGCTTTCCCCTTCACCCTGAGTGAAACCATCTGAACAGAAACAGAGCAAAGTTAATGATATACCTACTGTTCGTATTTGTACTTAGCAGAAGAGATAAGGCGGGGCTATTTGTGCATGCCCACACGTGTGCAGGTACTGCTCTCTAGCTTCGCTTTTGAGATGCAGTCTCTCATTGAACATGGAGTTCACCATTTCAGCTCGACTGGCTGGACAGTAAGCTCCTGGAATCTGGCCATTTCTATGCCCCAGTGCTGGGGCTACAGATACACACCACTGCGCCCAGTCTTTGACGTGGGTGCTGGGGATCCACATTCAGCTCATCATGCCTGCACAGTAAGCTCACTACCAATCCCAGTACCCTTTGGATCCATACATTTGAGTTTTCCAGTTCTGCTATGGTGTGGCCTACGGCTCCTGAAAGTCACCTCATCTGCCATACTTGCAGTAGAGCCAACAGGACATGGAGAAACGTTAGGAGGATATCATACAAAAAGACCATTAGTGATACATTTAAAAACTAAGGTAAATGACTCAGAATACACAAGTTTATTGAGAAGACACTGTCCCATGTCCTGAATATTTAGAAGTTGAACCTGAAGGGAAACAAGGTTATCTGAAACTGCAAAGAAACATGAAAAACCAGGCATAGTCTATGTAAGACTTTGTATCTTTAGAATCATTGAGCTGGCAAAGCTGCCTTCAACTGGTGTTTAGTCTGACGAAATGACACACACGCAGAAGTGAAATTCAAATTATACTAAATTGTGCAACATACTTGGTACAAATTTGTGTCTTAAAACCATCAGTATATCATATCTGAACATGTGTTAAAGCATTTCCGAGACAGGATCTAAGTTTTCTAGACTGGACATGGGCCCATGATCCTCCTGCCTCAGCTTTCAAATGATAAAATTGCAAGTGAACATCAGCATGCCTGGGCAAAATATTCTTGAACTACTCTGAAGGACCAGACTACTTTATATATGGGTGTAGAGAAAGAATTTTTATCAAGTATTAAAATTATATATAATAAAGACAAATGAAAACAGCATATGGTTATATTAAAAATTCCAATGTATACAAATATACTATCATGGTAAACTTGTCATAAGATAAACATAAGTGAAATAATTCTTCATAAATAAAAAGTTACAGCCAGGAAGTAGTGGTATACACCTTTAATTTCATTATTCAATATCAGAGGCAGGCAGATCGCTGTGAGTTCGAGTCCAGCTAGGGTTACACAGAGAAACCTTGCCTCAAAAAATTCTGAAAATCACTAACAAATTTATGAAGTTAAATATTTTCCATAGACATGTCCTTCATGAAATTGAAGAGGATATCAGAAAGAAAGAACTCCCACATTCACGGATTGGTAGAATTAACATAGTAAAAGTGGCCATCCTACCAAAAGCGGTCTACAGATACAACACAATTCCCTTCAAAATTCCAACACAATTCTTTACAGACCTAGAAAGAACAATACTTGACTTCATATGGAAAAACAAAAAACCCAAGATAGCTAAAACTATCAGGTATCATCATCCCTGATTGAAAGCTGTACTACAGAGCTATAGTAATAAAAACTGTATGATATTGGCATAAAAACAGACACATTGATTAATGGAATTGGATTGAATTCCCAGACTAAACCCACACACCTATGGACACTTGATTGTTGATAAAGAAGCCAGAAATACATAAAAGAAAAAATAATCTTCAACAAACAGTACTGATCTAACTGGATGTCTGTGTATAGAAGAATGCAAATAGAATCATATTTAACACGCTGCACAACACTCAAGTCCAAGTAGATCAAAGACCTCAACATACAACCAAATACAATGAACCTGGTAGAAAAGAGAGTAGGGAATATCCTTGAACTCACTGGAACAGCAGACAACTTCCTAAACAACACTTATAGTACAGGCACTAAGATCAACAATTAGTAAATAGGAACTCATGAAACTGAACAGCTTTTGCAAGGCAATGGACACTGCCAATAGGATGAAATGACAGCCCACAGAATGGGAAACATTTCACCAACTCCACATTTGAGAGAGGGCTAACACTCCATACTTTATAAACAACTGAAGAAACTAGACATTGACAAACCAAATAATCCAATTAAATATGGGATATAGAACTAAACAGAATTCTCAGTAGAAGACTCTCAGATGGCCGAGAACCACTTAAAGAAATGTTCAACACCCTTAGCCACCAGTGAAATGCAAATCAAAACTATTTTGAGATTTCATCTTACACCTGTCAGAATGGCTAAGATCAGTAACATAAGTGAGAGCTCATCCTGGAGAAGATGTAGATCAAGGGGGAACACTCCTCCACTGCTGGTAGGAGTGTAGACTCATCCAGCTACTACAGAAGTCAATATGGTGGTTCCTCAGAAAATTGGAAATCTAGGTACCCCGAGATCCAGATATACCACTTTTGGGTATGTACCCAAAAGATACTCCATCCTACCACAAGGACACTCATTCAGTTATGCTTACAATAGCTTTTATCATCATAACCAGAATCTGGAAACAACCTAGATGTACTTCAACTAAAGAATGGAAAAAGAAAATGTAGTACATTTACACAACGGAGTATTACTCAGCCGTTCAATGAAACGACATCATGAAATTTGCAGGCAAATGGATGCAACTAAAAAGAAAATCATCTGGAACAAGGCAACCCAGACCCAGAAAGACAAACAAGAGATGTGCACACTCATAAGTGGATATTAACTGTTAAATAAAGGATAATCATGCTACAATCCACAGATTCAGAGAGGCCAAGAAACAAGGAGGGCTCTAGCAGGAATACATGCATCTCCCTGGTAAGTGGAAATAGAATACTTTTGTGAGCAGACTGGGAGTGAGTGGGGATTGGAACAGGAGGGGATCAGGTGGGAGAAGAAAGGACTGAAGGAGGGAGTATGATGAGAGACGGGAATAGGAGGATATTTAGGGGACAACGTGGAAACTACGGGCAGTGGAAGTTTCCTGCAAACAATGAGGGTGATCCTAATGAAGGGTCCTAGTAATGGAGGGTATTGAGCCTGATCAGTCATCTGCAACCAGGCGAGGCTTCCAGTGTTGAGACTGGAACACCAATGCAGTCACAAAACTTACGACCTACAACCTGCCTGAAAGACATGCTGGGACAATGGTGGCTCAGAGCTTGCAGGAGTGACCAATCAGTGATTGGTTTAATTTGGGAGCCCATGCCAGACAGCCTGGATGGCCAGGAACTAGAAGCAGGATAGCCCAGATTCCTAGGGTAGAACCAAAAAAAGTCAATGAAATGATTCCTAATGATATTCTGCTATACACATAGGTAGGTGCCTAGCTAGCCCAATTGTCATCAGAGAGGCTTCTTCCTGTAGCTGACAGGGGCAGATGCAGAGTCCCACAGCCTAACATTAGGCAGAACTCAGGGAAACCCACAGAAAAGGGATAGGAAGGCTTCTCGGAGCTTATGGGGTCAAGGACACCATGAGAAAACAGCTCACAGAATCGTGAAGTAGGTGATCACAGAGACTGAAGCAGCAATCTTGGAGCTGCATGAGTCTGCACTAGGTCCTCTGAATATATACTTGTAGTTTGGGGTGCTTGTGGGGGGGGGTTCTGACTCTGTTTGCATGTTCTCGGGACCTTTTCCTCCCACTAGGCTGCCTCATCCAACCTTGAGATGAGGACTTGTGCCTAGTCTTATTGCATCTTGTTAAGCTATGCTTGGTTGATATCCCTGGGAGGCCTGCTGTTTTCTAGAGGGAAATGGAGGGGCACTGGATCTGGGGGAGAGAAGAGGCAGTGGTGGGAAGTGGAGTGGGGAGAGGGAAAGGAGGCAGCAGTGGGGATGTATTGTATTAGAGAAGAATATTTAAAAAGAAAAAAATGGTTAAAATGAAAAAAATGTCTTTCACAATAACTGAGCTGTTTCTGTTTTCGTAGCATCCTTATGGATCTGATAGCTAATACTGAAATTTAGAGTATTAATTTAGGTTTTTAAATCAGCTTCTAAAAATTATGACTATTAGAAACACGTCATAAAACAAGTAAATGTCACTTTGAGTCCCATTTCTATGGGACTAGGTCTTCTTGGGCATGGCATTTTTATCACTTGTGCACCAACCTCTGACTCTTTCATCCTCTGTACTTCACTCTCCAGTAGGTTTTTCTCCAACAATAGCATCTGAAAATCAGTTTCCATCTGTTTATATTTCTAAAGATAAATGAAATAGATCTAATTAAAATCAAGCATCTCAGTAAGACTTATTTCAATACCTAGTTATTAATGTAATCCTAACTTTATTGAAGCAAGAAAGAAAAGGAGCCACTAGCATTAATTTCTAAGTTGCCCTTGTGACTGATCTGCCTAGAGAAACAGGAGACTCCAGGTTAGTGTTTCAGGAATGCTTCTGAGCGGCAATGATGAATAACAACTAAAAAGAGCATGCAATGCCTTCTAGTTCAGGAGCTCAGAGAAGCTGGGGGAACTGAGCGAGCGCTAACCTCTAATTACAACAGAAAATGGTTGTTTGTGGAGTCTCTTCAAAAATCAAGGACAAAGTACAATATTAAATTAAAAATGTTATACTTACAGTCTCAGCTATACTCTGATCATTTAAAGCTCTGAAAAACAAAAGTAACTATGCTATAATAAATACGTACAAATGTTTTAGTTATGAAGCACAGTAGATTTTTAACAGACTCCCTTGTCTTTCTCACAACCTCTTCTCGTGCTGTAGCCAACATCTAGACTCCTGCCAGGATCTTCCCTTCACGCATCCACACACACAACCCTTTGGGCAGCTGTCACCACACCACACCCCAAAATCCCACATCCTCTTTCTGAGTCAGACTGATGAGTATCTTCCCCATCCCACCGGACCTCACATGGATCCCAGCGCTCTGGCCTAGTCTGGCCAGCCTTGGAACTACGAAACTGAGAGGAAAGCTGTACAAGTAGAACAGATCAAGTGGAAGACAGAATATCAGGTTTCAGAGACAAAATAGAGGGTCTTGACCAAGAGTGAAGTACAGAGGATGAAAGAGTCAGAGGTTGGTGCACAAAAGAGGAACCTGAAAAATTAAACAAAAATAAAATAAAATATAGGAAATGAACACACAGGAAATGTTGAACACTATGGAAAAAAACTGCCTCTAAAATATAGTTATACAAGAGGGGGAAAGAATTTCAAATCAGTGACATAGAAACCAAAGTCACAGAAAACTCCCCTCAACTCAAGAATGTCTCACCCATACAGATATAAGAAGCACACAGAACACCAAACAGACCAGAAAAGAAAATCCCAATGGCATATCATAGCTAAAACACTAATTATATTCTGAAAATACTTACTGTGGCATGCTGTATAAACCAAGGAAATTGTTTAGAAAAACGTATCACCTAATGTCAAACTAACCCATGTTGAAAATTGGTGATTGTATCAGAACTATCTCACAGTAACTAAGATGACTCACTCAGCCAGTCCATTTCTGCACCCTGACCCCGGGAGTGTGATTTTTTTTCTCAAAAGCCCCCTTGCATCATACAATGCAAAATGTTTATCTGTGCCGGGCGATGGTGGCGCACGCCTTTAATCCCAGCACTCGGGAGGCAGAGGCAGGCGGATCTCTGTGAGTTCGAGACCAGCCTGGTCTACAGAGCGAGTTCCAGGACAGGCTCCAAAGCCACAGAGAAACCCTGTTTCGAAAAACCAAAAAAAAAAAATGTTTATCTGTACACACACCTGCACACAAACACACAACCATGGCTAGTAATTTACACTCAAAAAAGGTTTTTATTTACTTTGTCCCCCTGTTTTTACCTTTTCCTAGTTTGGAAAAATTTAATCAGAACAGAAATGTGTGCACTATATAATACCAAGGAAGGGAAATCCAACATTTATACTCGAGTGGAGAGACTTACAGTATCAGAAGCTTCTGTGAGGGTCTTCTCAAAAGCTTATTCTTCCCAGAATTCCATCGTCCTGATTTATACTTATTGCTAGTGTTTCTACTTATACACAGTGTAGGTTAGCGTCATGTGATTACTGAAATCTGCGTCATTGTGTTTAAAACTCCAAGGCTACAGAAAAGCAGCCAGGAGCTACACTGAACTTTTCCACACTTCACTTAAATTCCTACATTTTAGTGTTTTGATGTTTCCTTTGTGTCTTAATCTCCATGTATGTATATATGACATGTATGTACATGTACATATGTGTGTATATATTTGCTGAACCATTAAAATAAACTCTAGTTTTAAAAAAAACACTAAGGATAACATAACAAAAGCTACAAGAGAAAAACACAAATCATATATCTATCAGGAAAACTATCAGAATGACAATTGATTTCTCAATGGAAACTTTGAAAACATGGACAGCCTGGAGCAATGTATTTCATGTACTAAAAGACTCTGATAGCCAACCTAAAATAATACATCCAGCCAAAATATATGATATGACTAAAGGATAAATAAAAATTTTCAGGAGATAAGCAATCTACAATAATTATAAACAACCCAACAATCCTAAGGAAAATACAGGAAACATTATTTTGGGCTGAAGAGAAGAGTGAATGCAGCATATGACAAGAAGAACAAAGCCATAATTACTAAAACGGCTACGAACACATCAAAAAATTCTCATAATCCCTAGCAATTAAGGGAATGCAAATAAACAACATTGATATTTTATTTTACCTGAGTCAGAATGACAAAGATCAATGGAACAACAGACCACAAATGCTGGAGGGGATGCCAAGGGCAAGGGGCAACCCTCATTCACTGTTAGTACGACTGCAAACTAGTGCGGCCCCCATGGAAATCGGTGTGACCCAGCTACAGCACCCCTTGGCCCGTGGTCAAAGGATGCTATGTCATATTTCACAGATACTTGCTCAGCCGTGGTCATTGCTTCTCTACTCACAATAGCTAGGAGAAATAAAAAACTTTAGTGTCCTACACCTGATGAATGGTATATACAGGAGAAGGTGGGGTGGGGTAAAGGGGAATATAGGATACAAGGGATCTGATCGTGGAAATGGGAAAAGGGAGTTCCTTAGGGAGGAAGAGGGAAGTAAATACAGAAGAACATGGGAGGAAGGTAAAGGGTGAATGGTCAGATATAGTTGATCTGATAGAGAAAAGCAATAAGATCAGGCTCTTTTATGGAAGAGGGAGGCAGGCGAATATAGGGGATAAATGTAGTTATGTAAAATAACAATGCTGATGTTGAAAAGAGCCACAAGGAAACACACTATTAACTGCTTACCTTAAAAACCGTAGTGCATATAACACAGTGTATAAATATACATATGTCATTTCCATAAACTTTTCTCATGGGGCAGATGGCACTTCCTCCAAGAGTCAAAGACCATCTAACAATTAACCCCGATACCAGACATGAGAAGACTTATTTTGGAGTTGTTGGCCAGGACTAAGGGACTCCCCAAGCATATGACCTACTCTTGTTGCCCTTGTCACTTCTCAGAGGGACAATGTAAGTTTCCGTTGCTGAGGATACCATGTACTTTAGAAACAAGGCTCAGAGACCCCTGAGATGGGACTGACCTGAATAACCCCTCCCTGAGGAGTACCTTTCATGGTAACAAAAGGCACCGTGTGCTTACAAAGGTGAGAAGCAACCAACAATTCCACCCAGTTATGATGTCCAATAACCACATTAATGACCAGCATAGCATGATGAAGTGGTCACATAGGTATCTAGTTGGTTACCAATGGTTTTCTAACTGGACTTAAGACCCACTCAGGATGAGAGAAACCATGCCTGGTACTGGAAAACTAAATACTCAGTGCTAAGTGAGGCAGTGGTGGCGCACGACTTTAATCCCAGCACTTGGGAGGTAGAGGCAGGCTGATCTCTGTGAGTTCAAGGCCAACCTGGTCTACAAGAGCTAGTTCCAGGACAGGCTCCAAAGCCACAGAAAAAGCCTGTCTTGAAAAACAAAACAACAACAAAAATACTCAGTTCTAGTGAAATCATGGTTATTGGAAGAGAATTTACAATCACTAACTTACTAACCCAGCATTATCCCTAACAACAAGCTATAAACATTTGTATTTATACCACAGATAAGTGTACTCTTCACCCATCATCGAGGAAATTTCTCTTTGCAACCAACAGAGACTATGACAGAAAACCACAGCCAATCAAAATGCAGAGTTGTGGAGTTCCTGTCCCAAAGGCTTCATGTACATAGCACTCTAAAAGTTATGACTCAGGGACCATTTGGGAAGATGTGGAAAGATCGTAAGAGCCAGAGGGTCAGGGAGTTTTCTGTGAGATCATACTTCTCAATAACATCAGAAGCTACACCTGTGAAGTCTCACCAACAGGACAGCCAGACATGAAGTGAACAAGGAGGACACCAATGAACAGGTCAAACTGGTTGGGGAAAAGCCACGAAGCTCTGTATGTATTAAAGAGTAATTGCTGCTTACTCTGCTCCTCATTCCTTGAAAATCATTATTTCACACGCTATAAATGTGACCACCCTAGGTAGCTTCTGTAGGGGAACCATATGCTTTTTGTCTCTTTGTGGCTGGCTTGTTTGATTCAGCAAAATGTGCCCATGTTTTAGTCACATGTGACACCTGTTCATACTTCTTTAAAGACCAATGATCCATTGTGACACATTTTGTTTTTCCAGTCACCCATTGTTGGAAATTTTTGTTTGGATGCTATTAACAGTGCTGAAGCAAAAACATGTATATGTGTCTCTTCAAGACCTCAGTGGCATTTTTTAATGTATTCCCAGGAATGGAATTGTTAGATAATGTTTCATTTATACTCACTCTTCATTTTTTGAGGATTCAGCATATTGTTTTTTTCCATAGCATATTTTTATAACCTGTGTGTTTGTAATCTGAAAATATAAAATTCTACATATGCATGATTAAAACTATATGCATGCATGTATACATATATATACATATATAGATACATACATACATTTAAGAGGCAGCTTTTGATGAAGACTTTATTTCTTATCTATGCTCCCAATGCTTCTATTCTATGAACTCAATTTTATAAGGAAAAAAGATTATTCTCAAAACTTACCTCTCTAACATATTTGTCTGATTTTCAAATATTTTCATCATCACGTTCATCCGTTTAGTCACTGAATAAGAAGCTTCTATTACAAAAAAACATAAAGGTGTTGTAGCGGCTGAAGTTATACAATCAACCAATTCAGTGATACAGATGGGAAACTAAACCAGCATAAGGAGGTGACATGATACTTCCAGCTGCATTTACCTTATTTCATCCTACACATCATCTCTGGCTTCCAAAGGGAAATAGTTATATTACAGGACATACTCAGAGGCAAAACACACACACACGACCTGAAGATAAGCAATTATGAGCACAGAATTCAGATACAGTGGGCATTTTTAAGTTATAGGGCAAGAATTTCAAACAACTAATTAGCAGTATTTATTACCTAGGGAAAAATTGGCAACATACAAGAGCAGATGGCAATATAAGCAGAAACTCTAATAAGTACAAAGAAGTCTTCAAGTTCTACAACAATGAAACAAAGAGTGCCTTGTGACTGATTCGGGCAGTAAATAAAAACAAACAACACAGGAAAATCTCTGATACTCTTCTAGGAGCACTTGCATTGTGCCAATCACACCAATGTTGTTGTGGGATTTCCCTCTGTATGCTGTGAATATGTTTCATTACTAGTGGTTAATAAAGCAGCTGCTTTGGCCTTTGGCAGGACAGAATACAGCAAGGTGGGAAATCCAATCAGAGATAGAGGAGGAAAGAAGGCAGAGTCAAAGAGACACCATGTAGCTGCCAAAGGAGAAAGACACCAGAACCTTACTGGTAAGCCACAGCCTCGTGGTGCTACATAGACTAATAGAAATGGGTTAATTTAAGATGTAAGAGCTACCTAGGGATATGTCTGAGACATTGGCCAAACAGTGTTATAATTAATATAGTTTTTTTTTTGTGATAATTCGGGTCTGGGTGGCCAAAAACACACAACAACAACAAAAAACAGTCTCCACTTACAATGTCCTTTAATCTGTGAGGGCTCCTTTAATCATGATAATAACCAAGAAATATTCTACTGTTGTCTAATAAATATGCCTAATCTATATGGCTACTGTCAGGAAAAAAAGTGATTAAATACTTGGAATACTTTGGAAAACAATCTTCACATTTTTAGATAATTATTAAGGGTGTTTTGCAAACCACTAGAGCAACTCTCTTGAAAAGTTAGCGAGATTTCAAGATGGTGACTGCACAGAGAGAACCAAGAGGTGAGTGACCAGCCCCTCAGTTGGATGATCAGTCTCTAGGCCCTGGGCCCTTCCCCCACTATCACTAGCTGACCATCAGGCAAGCCTCTTACAGGCAGGCTGTTCTAACTAACATATGCCAAGTGGGTGGACCCTGTAAACCACAAGGTCCACTCTGCCACCAACTACACCCATTCCCTGTGTCTCAGTGCCTCACTAAGACGTAGACTACAACTGCACAGACCTGACCAAGAGGTGAGTGACCAGTTCTTCAGCTGCACAACCCAGTCTCTAGGCCCTAGAACCCAGGGAAAAATCCTGAGTTTCCCCCCCCCCCCCCGCACCTCAGCTGTACAAGCTGGTTAGCAGGCAAGCCTCCTGTAGGTTGGCTGCTCCACAACCCCACACCAGATCTGTAATCTTCAAGTCCCACGCTCCCTTCCCCATCTCCACAACCTCAACAGCTAACTGAGACACAGATTGTAACAGCCATAGAGCTGACCAAGAGATGAGAGACTAGCCTCCCACCTGGACAGCCCAGTCTATAGGCTGTAGGCCCCAGGGCAAAACAACAGGCTCCTCCCCCACCCACCTCAGCTTCAGTGACTAAGTCAGCAGGCAAGCTTCCATCACCCCTCATCTTCTGCATCCTGTAATCTACAAGTCCTACTCACCACCAAACCCACCCATCCCCTGAGAACTGACTCACTGAGACACAGACAGAGACTGCAAGGATTGGACCAAGAGGCAAAGACACTGCTTGTACCAACTGGAGGAAGAAATGAGCAGGTGCCAATGCAAGAACACATTTAACAAACTAAAGAGCAATATGGCAACACCTGAATCCAGTGGTCCTACAACAGGAAGACCTGAACCCAGAAGAAGCTGAAGAAAATGACCTTAAATATAACTTTATGAAGACGATAGAGACCCTTAAAGAGGAAATGAAAAACCTCCTTAAAGAAATGGAGAAAAGGCCAAACCAAAAAAAATGGAAGAAATCAATAAATCTCTTAAAGAAAGCAAAGAAAACAATCAAACAGGTGAAGCAAATGATTCAAACAGTTCAAGGCTTGAAAATTAAAATAGAGGCAATAAAGAAAACACAAACAGAAGGAATTCCGGAAATGGAAAAGCTAGGTAAATAAACAGGAACTACAGATGCAAGCATAACAGAATATAAGAGACGGAAGAGAGAATCTTGGGAGTTAAAGATATAATAGAGGAAATAGATTCATCTGTCAAAGAAAATGTGAAATCCAACAAGTTCTTAATACAAAACATTCAGGAAATCTGGGACAATATGAAGAGACAAACCTAAGAATAATAGGGTAGAAGAAGGAGAAGAACTCCAGCTCAAAGGCACTGAAAATATATCAACAAAATCATACAAGAAAACATTCCCAACCTGCAGAAGGTTATGTCTCTGAAGGTAAAAGAAGCTTACAGAACAGTAAATAAACTGGACCAAAGAAGTCCCCTTGTCACATATTAATCAAACCACTAACCATACAGAACAAAGAAAGAATATTAAGAGCTGCAAAAGAAAAAGGCCAAGTAACATTTAAAGGCAGATCTATCAGAATTATACCCAGCTTTTCAATGAAAACACTGAAAGTCAGAAGGTTCTGAGCAGATGTACTACAGACACTACGAGATCACAGATGCAAGCCCCAATTATTATACCCAGCATAGCTTTCAATCAGCATAGATGGAGAAAACAAGACATTTCATGACAAAAGCACATTTAAACATACCTATCCACAAATCCAGCCTTACAGAAAGTCCTAGAAGGAAAACTTCAATTAAAGGAAGCTAGTGCACTCAAAAAAAAAAAAAAACACACAGGCAACAGATAAGCTCACACCAGCAAACCTCAGAGAAGGGAAACACACAAACACTACTACCGAAAAATATAGGAATAAACAATCACTGGTCATTAATATCTCTTAATATCAATGGACTCAATCCACTTATAAAAAGACATAGGCTAACAGAATTGATATGAAAACAGTATCCATCCTTCTGCTGCATACAAGAAATACATCTCAAAGGGGTGGAAATTTTTCCAATCAAATAGACCTAAGAAAACTATCCTAATATCTAACAAAATCAACTTCAAACTAAAATCAATCAAAAGATATGGAGAAGGACACTTTAAACTCATACCAGGAAAAACTCATCAAGATGAAGACTCAATTCTTAACATCTATGCCCCAAGTACAAGAGCACGCACATTTGTAATAGAAACATTACTAAAGCTTAAATCATATATCAAACCCCACACACTAAGAGTAGAGACTTCAACACCCCACTCTTGACAGTAAACAGGTCTACCAGAAAGAAACTTAACAGAAATAAGAGAACTAACAGATGTCATGACTCAAACAGACTTAACAGACATCTATTGAACATTTTTACCAAACACAAAAGAATATACCTTCTCAGCACCTCATGGAACCTTTTCTGAAATTGACGACATATTCAATAACAAAGCAAACTTCAACAGACACAAAAAATTGGAGTAACCCACTGTGTCTTATTGAATCATCATGGCTTGAAGTTAGAATTTAACAACAACAACTAATTGTAGGAAGCCTACAAACTCATGAAAATTGAACAACGCTCAACTGAATCATCCCTGAGTCAAAGAAGAAATAAGAAAGCAATTAAAGACTTCCTAGAATTCAACACAAATGAATACACAACATATCCAAACCTATGGGACACTATGAAAGCAGTGCTAAGGGGAAGTTCATAGCACTAAGTGCCTGCATAAAAAAAATGGAGAAAAATCTCACTAGTGATTTAACAGCACACCTGAAAGCTCTAGAACAAAAAGTAGCAGACTCATCCAGGAGGAGTAGATGAAGGGAAATAATCAAATTGAGGGCTGAAATCAATAAAATGGAAACAAAGAAAACAAACAAAGGATCTATGAAACAAAGAGCTGGTTCTTTGAAAAAATCAACAAGATAGATAAACCCTTATCCAAACTAACCAAAAGGTAGAAATAGAATATCCAAATTTAAAAAACCATAAATGAAAAGGGGGACATAACAACAGAAACTGAGGAAATCCAGAGAATCATTAGGTCATACTTCAAAAACCTGTACTCTACAAAATTGGAAAATCTAGAAGAAATGATCATTTCTCTGGTAATGTACTACATATCAAAATTAAATCAAGACCAGATAAAAAATTTAAATAGACCTATAACCCCTAAGAAAATAGAAGCAGTCATCAAAAGTCTCCCAACCAAAAATAGCACAGGGCCATATGGTTTCAGCTTAGAATTCTACCAGAATTAGCTCAAAGAAGTGCTAATACCTGTACTCTTCCAATTGTTCCACACAATAGAAACAGAAAGAACATTGCCAAGCTCTTTTTACAAGGATACACTTACCCTGATACCCAAACCACAGAAGGACACAACTAAGAAAGAGAATTATAGCTCGATCTCCCTCATGAACATTGATGCAAAAATACTCAACATAATTCTGGCAAATCAAATCCAAGAACACATCAAAAAAATCATTCATCATGAAGTAGGCTTCATACCATGAAATCCGCCATAAAAATAAACTGAAAGCCAGGTGGTGGTGGCACATGCCTTTAATTCCAGCACTCGGGAGGCAGAGGCAGGCGGATCTCTGTGAGTTCGAGACCAGCCTGGTCTACAAGAGCTAGTTCCAGGACAAGCTCCAAAGCCACAGAGAAACCCTGTCTTGAAAAACCAAAATAAATAAATAAATAAATAAACAAACTGAAAGAAAAAAAACCATATGATCATCTCATTAGATGCTGAAAAAGCATTCGACAAAATCCAACACCTATTCATGATAAAGGTCTTGGAGAGATCAGGGATGCAAGGAACATATCTAAACATAATAACAGCATTATACAGCAATCTGACAACCAACAATAAATTAAATGGAGAGAAACTCAAAGTGATTCCACTAAAATTAGGAACAGGACAAGGCTGTTCACTCTCTCCATATCTGTGCAATATAGTGCTTCAAGTTCTGACTAGAGCAATAAGGCAACAAAAGGAGATCAAGAGATACAAATTGGAAAGGAAGAAGTCATATTTTGCTGTTTGCAGATAATATGATAGTATACATAACTGACTCCCAAAATTCTACCAGGGAACTCCTACAGTTGATAAACACCTTCAGTAATGTGGCTGGATATAAGATCAACTCAAAAAAATCAGTAGCCCCCTATATACAAATGATGAAAGGGCTGAGAAAGAAATCAGAGAAATGTCACCATTTATAATAGCCACAAATGACATAAAATATGTTGGGGTAACACTAACCAAAGAAGTAAAAGGTCTGTACAGCAACAACTTTAAGTCTTTGAAGAAAGAAATTGAAGAAGATATCAGAGAACGGAAAGATCCTCCATGCTCTTGGATAAGTAGGATCAACGTAGTAAAATGGCAATCTTACCAAAAGCAATCTACAGATTCAATGCAATCCCCATCAAAATTCCAACACAATTCTCCACATATAAGCACACACACACACACACACACACACACACACACACACGAGAATCCTAAACAGTCTTTAATGCTAAAATTCTCCACAGGTGCCCGTTAAGGTGCTTGTGTATAGTATATGAAGACTCCTATGCTGGTCACTTTTGCACAGACAACAGAAAGAGCTTCAAGGATTCTGAGCTGCTGTTTGAAGCCAACCTGGGATACATCAGACCCTTCCTTAAACAAACAAACAAACAAAATCTGATGAAATCTTGAAAGCAGCAATAATACAGAGGTTTCTTACTATGATAGTATGAATGAGAATGTCCCCCACAGGCTCATGCACAAAAACGCTTGGTCCCAGTAGGTGAGGATAACTGGGAAGGCTATGCAGTCTTTTGGAGATGTTAGCATGATGGTGCTCAGATGAACGGCCACTTACCTGGCTCAGTTTCAGAAGCAACTTGAGATTCGTAAGCTGAGTGAGATTTTATGAATTCTGAAAGAGATATACGTATCTGGCATTATTCATTTCATATAGCCATCCTATGCATCCATTGGGATGACAGTCTATATGTTTAATTTTAATGATTTGCCCAAGGGGAAGACTGAACAACTCCATGGGAACAACAGCAAAATCATAACATTCATCTTTTAAGAATATTTATTTTTACTTTATGTGCTTCAAGTGTTTTGCCTCATAATGTGTATCTGCATCATGTGTGTACAATGCGCGCAGACACCAGAAGAGACAAGCAAATTCACTGGAACTGGAGTTACAGAAAGGTGTGAGCTGCTACGTGGGTGTCAATCAAACTTGGTTTCTCTGCAAGAGCAGCCAGTGCTCTTAATGAGCCATCTTTTAACTTGGCATTAATCATTTACATTTCCAAAATCCAAACTGTAATAAGAGTTGTATTGAAATAGAAAACTCCCTACTGAACAGTGTATTCCGTTTGCCATTGTGTAATTTTTTAATTGCAAAAATTAAGCTTCTAGTATCAAAGTGCTAATATAGTTGGGAAACTGAATAAATTTAAAGCATTCATAAATATTACCTTCGATTTGCTTCTCTATAGCTTCGTAACTTCTCATTGAACCTGGTAGCGTGTCTTTTTCCCTGCCAAGAGTACCAATAAATAAAACTTGTTATACACATCAAGAGTTGTTACACCGCCCAAGGAACTATATTTAACAGATTAGACATATGATGTCAAGCTAACCTATCATTTATCCTTCATTCATAGTTACTAAGATAAATAAATTATAAAGCCATCCTATGCTATAATGGCCAAATTCTGTGAATTGTGCATTCCAGGATATAGTTATATACACTAGTAACATTTAGAACTAAAGTAACAAAACTCAGTCTGTAGAAACTGGAGCTCTCTCTTTGCTAATGCTCACTTGGTGCCATGCTAAGAGCACAAGGCTGAGAGTGAGACAATCTTCTCCAAGCCTCTATGTGGCCTGGAGCCGGTTGCTCTGCCTCTCTCCTTAGATTCTTTATCTGTTAAAACTTACATATGCTAATTCCTTTCTCATAAAGTAGTTATGAGGCTTCCAGGAGAAACTAGAAAAGCACCTTGTGCACAGAAGACATTTAAAGGTCAAACATAAACACATTCAGAAGCATTCCTGACAGCAAACAGCTCAGGAATGTACAGAAGCCTCCTTACAATACCAGGGTAATAACAGGTCACACAGAAAGCACATGGAGAGACCGCATATGGAGTATTGGTCTCTTCCAACTATGAGAAGTTTTTCTTTTAGCAATATGAAACTGCTTTGTATATACTTGAAAACCAGTGGGTGAAAGTACAATTCTAAACCTGGTTTTATAATAAAAAAAAAAAGTTGGGTTTGCTACTAGGACTCACTCAATCAAATTCAGACATGTGAGACCCAGAAACACAATGTTCGATCTCACCTGTAATTTCTGGCTCCAAATACTCAGATGTGAGCATATGACATGGAGTCATGACTAAGAGTAGCAAAGTATAAAGGGACTATAGGCATGGGGGAGGAGCATGAGAAAGGATAGCAGTGTATGGGTGATATGAAATGGGAAATAAAAAAAAAGCATGGAGGGGTTCAACTAGAGAGGAGGGCTGGAAGGTCAATACAGAAAGAGAAAGACAGAGGGGGAACAAATAACACCAAGATTGCTGGATAAAGCCTCAAGAAACCCCATTGCTTATATTTACTTAAATTATACACAATACATATTAGTGTCTATCTATCTACCTATCTATGTATCTCATAGATACATGTGCCTATCTACACACACACACACACACACACACACACACACATATCTATCTCTCTGTTGGTATGTCTGTTTATTTACGTATCATCTATCTATCTATCTATCTATCTATCTATCTATCTATCTATCTATCTATCTACCTGTCTATCTATCTTCTTACCTACCTACCAATCTACCTAACACCAAGGAAGTTACACCAATTGGATGACAATGATCCCCACAAAACCCCAAAACTAACAGAGACACCAGTACCAGGAGTGAGAAACTGTCTACTGAATGGTTGATCAGGGTATCTTGAGTGGCTCCTAAAATACTACAGACTATCTATAAACCTTGGTTGCTTCTTAGGAGTTGAGGGTAGAACCCTGAAGAAACTGTATACTTTGGACATGCAGTCAGATGATTTGAGCTGTATCTGACCTGACAGCTTCCTTCCTGCAGTCTAGTTTCTACAGTGCCAAAAGATACTTTGCAGGCTGCCAAACAAGGGAAGAAATTAAACAGTCTGGCCCAGTTGAACTGTGACGATGAACAACGTGGCAAGATCTCCGTATGGTGAAATAGTGGCATTCCCATGTTGTTGGTAACCAGCCGCTGTCTAACTTAACATAAGGCCCACTCAACAGGAAGGAAATCATGTCTAGTACTGGAAACATAGCTAGTGAGATCATGGACCTCAAAAAAGAATCTACCATCACCAACTTGCTAAGCCTGCATAATACCTAACTATACTCTAAGTCTTATCCTTAATTTCATAGTTAAGTATAACTACGCTTCTCATCAAATAGGCCTCTCTTTATAGAAAATGCAGGCCGTCCTAGAAATCCTCAAGTGGACAGAATACACAGGCCAACAAAGCATGCGGAACCTAGCCCCAACAGATATTTCTACATCATAGCACCTGCATTGACTTTTCAGAGAACATTTCAGAAAAGGGGATGGAAAGGTTGTAAGAGCAAAAAGACCAGGAAGTCTGGTGTGAAACAGTCTCTCCTAGAAATGCCCGTGCAAACAAGACAAGAGAACACTGGCAGTGTTGATGAACATGCAAGTGTAGAAGGTGAAAGTTTTTGCAGAGTCCCACCCCTAGACAAAGAATTACAGACAGTTATTGACTACTGGGAAAGGAATAAGCCTGTCTCCGAGATGATCCCTCTTTATGCGCTGTCCAATGCAAAATGGTCAGGCCTGAAACCATCATACACAAGCAACAAACTCGGCAAGTTGTAATTATGTATTTGTGCATACCTATAATGCATATATACATAGGTGTATGCAATGATAATAAAGAAAAGGGGTTATCAATTTGAGGGATCATGGGAGGGCACCTGGGAAGGGCTGGAGGGAGGAAAGGGGGGTATGATGTGATTCTAGTTCAACTAGAATACATTTTTTTTTTTTTTGGTTTTTCGAGACAGGGTTTCTCTGTGGTTTTGGAGCCTGTCCTGGAACTAGCTCTTGTAGACCAGGCTGGTCTCGAACTCACAGAGATCCGCCTGCCTCTGCCTCCCGAGTGCTGGGATTAAAGGCGTGCGCCACCACCGCCCGGCTCAACTAGAATATATTTTAAAAGCATTCAGAAACATGTTTACAATCCAGATGTCTTAAAGAGACTACTACCCAGAAGAAGTTTTAAATAATAGTTATACATGGCTGTTGAGTAGTTAAAGCATGTTTCGTATGACCCAGAAGCCAATACTAAATCAAATTTGAATAGCCACATGTGACTAATGTCTACTGCACTGAATAACACCATCTCAGACTATTAAAATTCCAAGTCAGATGCCGGGTGGTGGTGGCACACATTTTTAATCCCAGCATTTGGGAGGCAGAGGCAGGTGGATTTCTATGAGTTCGAGGCTAGCCTGGTCTACAAGAGCTAGTTCCAGGACAAGCACCAAAATTGCACAGAGAAACCCTGTCTTGAAAAAACAAACAAAACAAAATAAAACCTTTCAAAATCAGAAAATGTAACTAAATATTCATATATCATTTAGAAGGTTTTTTTTTTAAAGCAGGAACATTGAGTTAGTCTACATCCAATGCTAATTACTGAGACTGAGTTTAATTCAATTAATCCTTATATTTCACTTACGCAAGTTTAGACAGCAGGGATCCCTTGCGCCCTTTCAAGCAAGTTTTCAGATCTTCAAATCTATGTGCCAGTTTTACTATTTGTGTGATGTTCAAGTTGAACGTTTTTTCATCTGCTGGGAGATCTCCTTCTAAAATGCTTTGGTCTTTACCTATCTGAAGTAACAAAATCGGCCAGTTACTAAAGACCCGCTTAATCTCATATTTCAAAAGCATTTCGTTATTTCCTTCATCAATCTGAATAACTTGCATTTAATCTCATCGTTGGCCATATCCAAACACTAGTAGAGTAGCTACAAATGCAATGAAGGGGCCCTTCACCATCAGTAGAACTACAGCTCACTCAGGATATATATATATATATATATATATATATATATATATATCCAATAACAAATGCAACTCAAGAATATTTAAAAGAACAATTTAAAAGAATATTTAAAATACACCTATTTTTTCTAAGAATACTCTGCTGTAATAAATTATAGACAATGATAAAGCCATGACCCTCCACTACCAAATCCCAGATGTCACTGTTCTTTCATTTTGCATGGGAAAACATTTAGAAACCTTTGGATGTCTCAAGCTTGTGAGAAATAAAAACAAAGAGACGTTTCTGGTGATGATGACATTTTCTGTCTTCACCCTTTAATTTTATATCCCAAATAACCAGCCTCCATCTCTCTTTAAAAGAGTGTTGAACTAGAGAGGATGATAAGCATAGCAAATGGGTGCAGAAAAATTCTGAACAATCCCTGAAGCTACCTGGGAAGTAATTCTTTCATGCTAGGGGAATACACATAATCTCTTCCAAAAGAGAATTAAAAGTCCTTGAAGACAGAGACCAGTTGCTCTCAATCTAGTGGTTAAAGTATTTGAAAATCTAAAATGCAAAGGATATCATTTTAAAACATTTAAAAAGTCAACATGTGTATATTATGCATAATTTTTTAAGCAGAGGAGAGATTTTAAGTTGATAAATTCCTATCACTTTGATGTAAATCAAAAAGGAAAAGAGAGTGAAATTTTCATTGCTCTTTAGGAGAAAGAATGATCCAATAAATCCTGTTCTGTCCTGGACTCATGCAGAAAAGTCATATGCAAATTACTGACAAACATCTTCACTAGCCATTATTTTTCAGCATAAATTAAAATATTACTTTAGAATTAATGGTTATTGAAATATTTGATGTATATGTTACTTTAGACAGATTTTCAAATGGCTCAAATACTTACTAATGTAACCAATAGTTAAGAAATTTTATATTTTACCTCCTCTATTTGGTTGACTTGTTGCTGAAACCACTTCATAAAAAAGGAATAAAAAGGAGAGAATTAATACATGTGTCTATGAGCCTGAATCTGCCAAGCACCATTGTTGACACTCACACACACACATCATACAGGGTTCAGAATGGGGTTAGAGCAACGTACAAATGCAAATAGAGACTTAGAAATATCTAGCACCAACCATGGAAGCCTGCAACTGCAAAACCTAGATCGTCTTTGCTTCCTATGCATTCTTTGTAGTTTAAGCTGTAATGAATTGAAACACATACCTTGAAAAGAGACTCCAAAATCTGGAAAACAAAGTTTTTGTTAGTATATTTAAAGATAAAGTAAGTATCATGCAACTCTTAAAATCTTAAATTTTAAATTTGCTAAAATAACTACAAATCTACAGTTTCAAAGCTATAATAATTTTGTAGATATGGCGTGTAGTCCATTGCACACATAACTATTACTTTTATTACTCCATATAATTTTGGAGTCAATTATTCACATCTAATATTTTGTTTGTGAAATAGAGTATCCAGAAGAGAGTCATATCTGTGTTATATGTTCTACAAGGGGTGATTAACTTATTTTAACACAAATGGTTACGGAGATGTGCAACTTCAGAGGGAAATCACCTTGGGCTATCTTAGTTCCTAATAGCCATTTATTGTCTACCTCTGTGTATGACCTAGTACTCTTGTGACTTCTAGACCAATTAGTTTCCAGTGTCCAGACAGATCCACAAGTTCCCTCAGCTGAATGGCTAGGAATGCACGAGCTGGCAACCGAGTCCCATAGCAAGGACTGTTGCACAACCTGCCTACCTGCTGTTCCTAAAAAAGTATTTTAAAAAAATGCTTGATTTATAATTGTTTTTGTTCTCATAATTTATGCCAAGACAGTTTATTTTTTGAGGAGATTGTTAATATTGCTTTCCTGTTTTCTTTCTCTGTTTGCTTGTCATTTGTCAACAGCTAGGCTACTGCGTTTTGTGCCTAAATTTTGTGTCCACTTATTTTACTGAATATATTTATGAGTAGAGTTTTTTGTTTGGTGGAATTGTTAGGGTCTTTTATATAGAGAATCATATCATCTGCAAATAAGGATATTTTGACTTCTTCCTTTCCACCCTAGGTGACTGAATCAGGTAATTAGTGGGGCCAGCAATCAGCTGCTGACTTTAAGTGACAACTTTTTGTTGTTGTTGTTGTTGTTTTGAGACAGGGTTTCTCTGTGTAACAGCCCTAGCTGTTCTGGAATTAGCTCTTGTAGACCAGGCTGGTCTCGGACTCACAGAGATCCATCCACCTGCCTCTGTCTCCTGAGTGCTGGGATTAAAGGTGCATGCACCACCGCCCAGCACACGACTACTTTTCATGCTGAAGTCTGAGGTGAACTAAATTGTGATTAATGAAGCTGGAGTGTAAAGCAAGTATATTAAATGCTTCCTGATGAGAGGATTGCATGCTTGTCTTGATTACTATTAAAACTGCTGTGGCAAAACATAATGGCAAAGTAACTTATAAAAGAAAGTGTTAGAGTCCATGACGATGGAGCAAAGGCGCCGTGGCAGGAACAGGCTGGAGCTCACACCTTGATCTGAAGGATCAGGCAGAGAAAGCACACTGGGGATGGCCTGAGCTTTTAAAGTTTCAAAGCCACCCCTGTGACACACTTCCTCCAACAAGGCCATACCTCCCAAACAGTTCCACCAACTGGGGACCAGTTTTTCAAATATGATCTATGCAGGCTACTCTCTCTCATTCAAATGCCCACATTCTACCCTATGGCTACCCTAAAGATGTGTGACCATATCATAACGCAAAATATACTGAGTCCAACTTCAAAAGGCTCTGTCATTTTTCAGTCTCCACACTGTTTCAAAGTCCAACGTTCAGAATCTGTTGTCAGTCTCAAGTCATTCATTTAACTGTTAAAATCAAGATGCACAAGACATACTTTCAACACCCAATGGCACAGAACATACATTACTATTACAAAAAGGAAGGAACCCAGTCACTGGACCAAAGCAAGGCAGACACATAGCTGGGCCAAGTCCAAATCCCGTAGCCAAGCTCTGTGTTTGTTGTGCTCCAGCATTCTACCTCTGCTTCATGCAAGATACATCTTCTCTCTTGGACTGTTCCACCACCCCAATACAGTCCCCTTGGCCAATATCCTAGGGCTATGGCACCTCTAACATCTTGATGGAGGGGTTGTGCCCCAACACAACCCAGGCTTCCTTGTCACAGCTTCACACAAGGCCTCTCAGGGCCTTTTGCCCTCTCAAGGCCTTCAGGCAGGAAAGTTTGCACCTCAGGCCTTTCTTCAATGTCCATATCACTTTTAGTAGAGACTTTGGTTCCAGCATTAAATTTTCTGAAGCATCTTTTCTCTTGAAACTGTACATTTGTATTGCTTTCTGCTCTTTTTCATTGTAGACCTGCATAAGAATGATTATTAGTAACTATGGGGCAAAGTCATTTATAGGGTGCCTTGAAATCTCTCTCACCAAAGAAAAAAATTTAATTACTTTTATTTTTTTTAATTTTAGGAAACATAATTTTTGAAAATTTTATTTACATTTTACATTCCAAGTACAGTTTACCCTCCCACCCCTCGTTCTGTCTCCCCTCACCTCTTCCAGCCCACCCACCCCCCATCTATTCCTCCCAATGGGTAAGGGCTCCCATGTGGTATGGGAAGTCCTTCTGTATTTATTGGTTAATGAATAAATAAGCTGCTACAGCCCCTTTGGATATCAGTATGGCAATTTCTCAGAAAATTAGGAAACAATCTTCCTCAAGACCCAGCAATACCATTTTTTGGGTATCTATCCAAAGGATGCTCAATCACACCACAGGAACATGTGCTCAACTATATCATAGCAGCATTGTTTGTCATAACCAGAACTTGCAAACAACCTAAATGCCCCTTGACTGAATACACAATGGAGCACTACACAGCAGAAAAAGATAACGGCATCTTGAAATTTGCTAGCAAATGGATGGAGCTAGAAACATCATATTGAGTGAGGTAACCCAGACACAAAAGACAATGATCATATGTACTCAATAATAAGTGGGTTTTAAACATAAAGCAAAGAAAACCAGCCTACAAATAACAATCCCAGAGAGCCTAGACAACACTGAGGACCCTAAGAGAGACACACATGAATCTAATCTACATGGGAAGTAGAAATAGACAAGATCTCTGGAGTAAATTGAGAGCATGGGGACCATGGGAGAGGGCAGAAGGGGAGGGGTGAGACAAGGAGGAGAGCAGAGAAAAATTTAGAGCTCAATAAAATCAATTAAAAAAAAAGAAAGCTGGGGGCTCATATATTGACCCAAAAGCAGAAGGCAGGGAAAGCACACTGGACATGGTGGGGCCTTTTGAAGCCCCAAAGTTTAGCCCATGACACACTTTCGCTAACAAGGCTACACAACTTCCCAAACAGTTCCACTCACTGGGAACCAAGTATTTAACCACGGTCTATATGAACAACTTTCATTCAAAAATCCACAATGTTTAGAGCTGAATTTTCAAAAATGACCTTCAGAAGGTCATGATCTAGGCAAGCACAGTGACTGTAAACACTGTGTGTTTCAACAGCAATGCTTGCAGAGCCAGAGAGATATAGGGCACCACCTGAAGCAAATGTGCCGTCAATGGAGGGATTTAATACAAAAGTTGGCTTTAAGACAACCAACATTTCATTCTTGTCTAGTAATGTGACATGGTTCAGCCACATTTCTTGGCTTCTACAAACTACTAAAAGAATACAATGTGGGAGTTTTTCTGATATATTTATGAGCTATTTGTGTTTTTTTCATCTTTGAAATACCTTTGTATGTCAGTGACCTATCTTTCACTTTTTGATCCATATTCATAATAATCATGATAGTCTCTTGTCACCTGGACATAATCCAAATGTTTTGCTTGTATGACTTTTTCCTGTCCTTTTCTCTTTGTGGATTTTTTTTTAATATAAGAGATTCAGGGTCTAATTTTAATATCGTTGAGTTTATCAGTCATTCCTAACATGACTTGCATTTCCTTCTAATTATGATTTATATTTTGATGAACCTGGAGCTTAGTGATGGTTTAAACTGGCTGATCAGCGAGCTCCATGGATCCATCCATCTTTATCCCTCATGCCAGTATAAGGGTTACAGATGTATATCAGCCAGCTTTTATGTGGATGCTGGGGTCTATCTCAGGTTCTCATGCTTGGACATCAGGCAGGCGCTTTACCAATGGAGCTGTCTCTCTACCCTCTGGGTTCTCTACTGTTTTACATGTCTATAGGTCCACCTTCATCTAATAAAATATTGTTTGGATTACTGAACACTTTGAGAAAGATTTTGAAATATTCTTCTCTGAAATGAGAACTGAATGTAAAAATAATGCTAGAAACATTTAAAAGGGGAAATATTTAATTGGAAAACACAAACAAAAAGTAGTAAGAACATTTGTACAAGATAAAGCAACGTGCAAAAGAGGAGCACAACGTGGAAGAATTAACCATCAAAATAAAATAGTCGTAAGGAATTATAAACAGACAGACAGAGAGGGAGGAAAGGGAAGATGGATAAACAGCAAAGACAAATGGTTTCAGTTATACATTACAAATCAAGTTGGACATACATATATAGTATAGTAAGGAATATAAAATACACGATATTATATATTATTAACTATATAATGTATATAGAAAAAAACTAAATATTGACCCTCACCTATAAATACTGAGTCTATTTTTCAAGCAACAGAAGAAAACATCATAAAATAATCAGCTTTAGCCTGCCCCAGTGTCTTGCAAATGTAATCATGATCATGGTGTGTTTTAAAACTCACAGTGAGCAAAACATCATTTCACTTAGGATTTAAAACAATATTTTTATTTTCAGTAGGTGTTTTGTCTGCAAGTTCACTCATAAACATTACATGTGTGCCTTGTACCCGCAGAGGCCAGAACCCGTGGGTGTTGGGTCTCCTGGAACTAGAGTTGCACAGGGTTGTGAGCCACCAGGTAGTATTAGGAACCAAATACAGGTAATTCGCAAGAGCAACAAGTGTTCTTCACCACTGAGATGTCTATCTAGCCACACATTATTTCATTTTTGAAATATAATATATATATATGAAATAAAGATAATATATAAGGAGAAATAATAATATATAAAGAAAATCAGGGAGTCAGGCAAAGTTGTGATAATAGTATTTTTTTTCATAGTATTCTTTACATATGGGGAAAGAATCCCCACGGTGATACTTGGTTTTCGTTCTTTTCAAACCTGTCTTTGGTTTGAAATTAACATTAATTAGAACATGATTTTGATAATGCAAACTTATTTTTTAAATGAGAATAAAATATAGAGATCACATTTAAAAGCACATATGACCATATTGCTACTTTATTTAAAGAAAAATGCACAGATATACACGGCCTACATTGAGAATAAACAAATATAAAAAAGATTCTCTAATGACCCTCTTCATCCTCCAAAAGATTGATTCCAGACTAATATGGCTGACTGTAAATCACATCACAGTTTCTACCACCAAAGCAAGTTCCCATAGTTTACACTGGACACCGACTTGGAATACATACGTTACGTTCTTCCTGAACTGCTTCCTCCATCTGAGCTGCAAACTGTGAACAGTACTGCAAGAATGCATTCATGTCATCACCAACCTTCCAAAAACAACCACAAAAGAGGGTTACTGTCAGTTTTAGAAACCACTTGTATACCCACTTGCTTCTTAATGTGTTTTGAAAGCATTTTAATTTCCATCCCTTCAAACATGGGTGGCAAAAATCTATGTTTCAAATGTTAGCCCAGAAAAACCCTCCTAGAAATAAAACATGAAAGAAAGTACATCCTAGGGAGTGATGAAACACAACAAGCGCTTGTTTTTCTGTTGGCTTAGTAGCTGCACCTGAATCTACTGATATTTTCACTATCATCTGAGGGCAACAGCCCCCATTCACATCCCTACTCACAGCAGTCAGTATTGGCGGCTTAGACCGTGGTCTCGTGGGATTTCTGGTCCCATTGGCCCCAGTTAACACCTGCTGGGCTGCAGTTGAGGCTGCCAAACCTAGGTTTTAACTAAGTTTTTATTGTTCTATTTACCAAAAAAGACATGGGAGTCAGATGTTGGGGTGAAAACCTGCTAGATCAGAGAAGCCAAGAACCAACCAGCTGACTTTCCTCCTTAGCTGGAGACTCAGCAAGAGAAGTGTCTCTCCATTCATCCCAATCAAAAAGATTGTGACTCTCTAAGGCCCTCCCTACTCCTTCCTGTGCCCCCTCCCCCTTCCTGGGTTCTCTGTACTTTCGATGGCTAATTCTTATCAACTAGTCATTGACTCCACCTTCTGATCCAAGGTAAATTTCATTAACATAGTTTCACAATGCGATCAAATATCCCACGACAACATCAAGGAAGCTTCTTTTTGTAGCTGATAGGAGACCACCATAGAAACTCACAACTGTCCAGAATGCAAAAACAATTGACCATGGTGTGCTCATCCCCAGTAAACACATCCACAGCACAGCCCACACGGAATAACAATTGATAAATAACAATTAAAAAATGCAGGTGCAAACATATGGTTGAGTCAAACAAATGTGACCGGCAAGACAGCTCTGCAGTAAAGAGTTTCCGGTGCTCTTGCAAAAGAGCAGAATTCAGGGCTCACAAAGCCCTGCCACTTTTCTCGACTCCAGAGGCACTACCACTGCATGTGCTCATTCACACATACAGATAGGCACACGTGCACATAAATACAATTTAGAAGAGACCTTAAAAAGTTAAAACAAGCAAAAAATGAAACTAAACCAAAACAAAACAACCCACTGAAATGAGAACCATGCTGTTACGTTAATACCTACATTATAACAAAATGTACAACAAAGATATTTTCTAGGTCTCAAAAACTTTGGGGTTTTTTCCACTTTAAAAACTAGCAAAGAAGGTATTTTTAATTTCATTTTATTATTTATCTGCGAGGGGAGGGGGTTAGGAGTGACTCATGTTTGCCTGCCACAGAAAACCTGTGGAGGTCAGAGTACAACCTGCAGGAGTTGGCCCTCCCCCTCAGCAAGAGTTGGCCCTCCCCCTCAGCCACATAGGTCTCAAGGATTAAACTCAAGTTTGTCAGGCTTGGTGGTAGGCACCTTTAGTCACTGCCCCATTTGGCTGGTGCAAGAATACTGTCTTATATTCAATACAAGCAAAGTAACCAAGCTCATATTTAAAACTCACCACAGAGGGAAGATTGTAAAAAGCAGACTATAGACAGACAGTGAAGACAGGAGTTGGCAGAGGCTGGAAACACTAACACATGTCTATCAAGTGTGGCAAGAGGATCTCTGCATGGATAGGAGTCCATTCGGACAGCGTGTGTTTATTCCAAAGGCAAGGGTTAACCCTTTCAACATTGAATTTATTTCCTTAGCTTATGTAACACGTACAGATAAAGATACGCCTTCCTCTTTAGGTTTTGTCAGTGTTTTTTCTCCATCTTCATCCACAGTTCCATATGTATTTTCCAAAGCAGTAACAACCTTAGAGAAATGCAAATCAAGTTGAATTTGTTGTTGTCAAAAATGCTAAAGTCATCACACCATGATTGTATAGATGTCACTTGACAGCCAGTGGCAGGAGGCTCCACTTTCTACCTTTTGACTCATCACGTATCATTAAGACGATGCCTGCTCAACAGTGCTTAATCCTACTCCCTAGCCATGGGGCAACTCAAAATTCTTCCTTCTCTATGTGAAAAAGTAGCAAAAAGAAAAAAAATTATTCACATACCTGTGAATAGCTGAAGAAAGCAGAGTTTTCCTCAAAGTCTGATTATCTTTTGAATATTGCATTTAAAGAAAAAGAAATATAAAGAGCAGAAAGCAATAAACTTTAAAAGACATTCTCCAAGATGACACACTGACCAGGTATCTTGGAAGCATGATGAACTCTAATTTTTACATTGGTGTCTTCCTTGTTCTCATTTAAAAGAGGATTTACAATCTGACTGACAATCATTATGTAAAAAGGAACTTAGAGAAACATTAAGTACTATGATTTCTGAGGTGCAGACAAGAATGACCGCAGCTGGCATGAGATCTCAAAATGCCTATGCCGACAAAGCCCTGCTTGTGAAGAGTGTTAGCAGGTTAGCTAGGAATTTTGCTTTTAGGAAGACAGTGTGTTCCATGCTAAACTGCTTTCCTTGAATCTGATACATGCTCGATAGAGAATACTTTAGGTCCTCAACCCTCTGTGTACTGTGTTTCTAATGATATCCTCAACCCTCTGCTACTGTGTTTCTAATGATATCCTCAACCCTCTGCGTACTGTGTTTCTAATGATATCCTCAACTCTCTGCGTACTGTGTTTCTAATGATATCCTCAACCCTCTGCGTATTGTGTTTCTAATGATATCCTCAACCCTCTGCGTACTGTGTTTCTAATGATATCCTCAACCCTCTGCGTACTGTTTCTGATGATATCTTCTGGTCCCCATCTACTAAACTCATCACGATTCATTTCCAGAGGAACTAAGCATGTCTCACATGACTTCAGACAGAGAACACTCATAGCCCTGGCCCTGTTCTTTCTAATCTCCCTCCCACATGCTGAATGTAATAAATCTTATCATTGATATAATGATATACAGAGTCCATCATAACTGATTCTATTCTTACACAACAGCAATCCCCCCACTAGTGACCATCTTGGGAATTACCTCAATAGGACACACAACAAATCTTACCATCTTCAGGTGTTTGGTAATCCTCCTGACCATTTCATCTTCTGCTATTAATTCCTTTGTCTTACTTGATGGTATTGGCAAGGCATAACGTACAACTGATTCTCCTGTGGGTGGAGACCTTAGGACCATTGGTTCGATCTTATCATATTGTGACTTGGCATTACGTTTTTCTTTTGGCTTAGGCGATGAGTTGAGTAGTCCTTTTTTATAAGGTAATTCTGGAACACTTGTCAATTTCTTATTAATGGTTGATAGGGGCTGTGCCCGTTTCATTTTTGTGGCTGATTTAGCGTCCAAATTACATGTGAAAAATTCAGTACCTCCCTGTGAACAAAACATTAAGAGATTCAAAGAAAAAAATCCTACTCCATTCACTTAATTAACCAAGAAAATTAAGCTATTCTAACGAAATTCATGTACAATGCATGTTTTATCATTATGGTACGGTAGCAGGCTCCTCAGATGACATTGTTACAGACTGTGGACAGTTCTGGACAGGCTCATGTACTGGGCGCTGGTTTCCCTATTGTGTGAGGTACTTTAAGAGGTGTGGCCTAGCTAAAGGGCACTGACAAGCCAATGCTGACTTTGAAGGTTTACACCTGCTCCCCAATTTCCTGTTTTCTGCTTCTTGTGACCAACCTCATCCTCTACATGTTTTCCCATTGTAAAACTTTGCTTTTCATAGTCTCAAAAGCATAGAGTCAAGTGGCTATAGAATGAACCTTCTGAATCTGTGGGCCAAGGAAGTAATGTGTCATAGAAATGCAAAAACGACATCCACCAGGCCTCTTCTGGGAGGAGCTGCCGTGATATGTTTGGCTACTTTTAATGGCAAGTGAAATAAAACAGTGGAAATATTTAAACTCAAGCATGCAACCTAACCATGAAAGAGGCATTATTAAGCTAAAAATGCACCCTTTACACACACCATCCTTCCCATTTTGCATGTGATTAAACCTGAGCTCCGAGAAGCTGGTCACAGGACAACTCAAAAACCTAGGAAGTGTTATAGTTGGAATTTCAATAAAGACCAATTTTTCTGTATATCTTACTTCTTTTCTACCCTACTTGCTCCAAGTGTTACCATTTATTTGTCTTTAAACTTTACAGCATTTTGTATGAGTGAGTGATGATGTAAGTGAAAAAATTTCAGATTTGAAATTGCAGCAGGATTATCAATGACTCCAGAGAGGGTCAATCTAAAAATCAATTTGGGATTACAAAATAGAGGGGCTAGCCTGACCACAAGCCATGAGAAATTTCGAAAAGTGACCCAAATCTGATTTGTATACGGGAGATCTAGGAAGACAGAAGGCAACAGAGGTAGCAAGACAATGTTCTCAGCGGAACTACAATTCTTCTCTTATTTTCCCTATAAGTCATGTCTCAGTTTTTACCATTCTTTCCAGAGCTACACTGTGGTAAGGAAATACCATCTAGATAGGCCACACTCTCATTCTCATGCCTCTTTCTCCTCTGAAACCTGTTTAAGACGCAGACCATTGTCTGCTCCCAAAGAATGTAAAAACATACCAGATCACAGAGACTGTGGGTAGAGTGGCAAATTGGCTTCGTGGCCTGGCACTGCCCATAGGCTAGTGCCCCTGCTGTGGGATGAACTGTCACCCAGAAGACATACTGAAGTTTTAACCCCTGCAAACCCTAAATATGACATCATTTGAAAAGAGGGTCTTTTCAGACATGAAGTTTAGGTGATGTGAACTGGATGAGGTCACTAAACCTAGTGACTGGTCTCAGGGTAAGAAAGGCATGTAGCAAGAGAGGCATATATCAGCAGGGTAACAGGGGTGTCCCTGCAAACTGGGGCGTGTGGAGGGTTGCTACCTGCTACTAGAATCTAAATAAGCAATAACGTTCCTTCTTGAGACTCTTCTCTTACACACAAGTTGATTTCAATTCTAGTTAGCTTGTGGTTATAGCTGCCCCACGTCTTTGTCCGAGTTGCTACAATGAAATATCATAAACAAAATGACTTACAAACAATACATGTTTGTCACAGTTATGAAGGCTGGCAAGTCCAGTGTCGTGTCACCAGCAGATCTGGTGTCAGATAAACCCCAAACAACAAACTATTGATCCATCTGTCTGTCTTCTCTTGATGGTTGACCAGCCAGGAACTTCCCTAGACCTCATTTATACAGTCCCTAGTTCCATTCGTGAACACATTGACCTGATGACCCCATCCATCACCTTTCAAAACTACTAGCTCCTCAGACTATCATCACCTTGGAGATCAGGATCTCAACACAACAATTCCAGGAGAGAAGGCAACAAACCTTTAGACCATGAGGAAAGTCCAGCACTGAGTGAGAAATATACACATGCATACATGGATCCACATGCATACTCTCCTTGTATTTCCTGAGAAATACATAGAGATTAGATATTAAGACTTTTAACAGTTTCTTAATAACAAACCATCAGGCAAAGTAGCTATTTCACCCTGAGTGCATATAAGCTAACAAGATAAGACAATTTGACATGAGAAAAACACAATCATCAGAGAAGTAAAACCACAGACAGAAAAATGCATCATGTATGAAGATCATACCAGAGAGATCGAAAAATGCTTAAGACGGAGAAAGAATACAGGCACTAGAAACAGGGGTAAGTGGTGTTTTAGAAGACCCAGATGGAAGTAGTACAAGTGAAAATGTACTGACCACACCGCTGCAGAACGGGTTCGTAGGATGGATGATCAGACCGAGGTGACAGGATAGAGAGCACCATTCAAAAGCAAAGCTACACAGAGAGAAAGTAGAGAGACGAAGGGTAGGTTGAACAGATGTGTTGAACTTCGCAAATGCCGACAGACAGATAAGAGAAAGAGGAAGCATAGAGGAAGAAATACTCCAACAAATAATAAAGATCAATTTCTCAGACCTAAAGAGTACCAGAAGGTACAGATCAAAATATTCTCAGAATGCTCATAGGAAACAAACAAAAACACAAAACACATCAGAAAGAAACATAAGCATCAAAAAGGGAAAAATAAAACTTTCAGAGAGAACATGAAACCTAAAAAGGAGGGAAAAATGAATGATACCATTTAATATTTCTCCTCACAAGATTATATATTTTATCAAAATTTCACACTCATTAAGGATTAAAAAAACACACAGTTCAAAAAATCAATCAGCAAAAGGAATGAGCTGGGACTAAAGCTATGACCTGGGGCTAGAGTCCAAGTCCCCTGCCACCACCAGCTCAGTCAGAGTAAGTGGTGAAAGAAGATGACCAAGTGGCCTGCGTGGGTCACTGAGCAGTTTCTCATGGCCAGGATGCCTCAAACCAGGAGTGTGGTAGTCACTCCTTATCATCAGGAGTTCAGGCCTGTCTAGCGAGGCTAGCCAGGTTCAGGATGGTTCATTTTAGTTGGGTCCTCCAGACTGAGCACTCTTTGAACTTAGGAGATTGGCCACAGAAAGATGATCAGCTCAGATCCTAACCAGTTTCCTCACCCCTGTCCTCGGCATTTTCTAGGCACTCATGCAGTGAGTTGTAGTAACTGGGAGCTCTCTCCTGCCACTTGTCAAGCCAGGGAATAGGGAGTTCCCACTGCCTGCTCTGCCACACCTCCTCTTGCCCATTCAAAAGCAAGCCTCTTGCCTCTCTCCATGGGAAGTCCTGTCTACAGTTCAAAGTGCGTCCTTCCCCAGATCCTGTCCATTCCAGGAAGATGAGACTTTCATTCTTGATTTAGGTCTTTGCTCCTTAGTGGACAATAGTCAATCCTATCCTTTTAATCTCGCACTAAGGGTGTGATCCATTTGGATCGCCAGCTTCTTGACCATCTCCGTGTGATTTCCCCACCCATCTGAGGTCCAGCTTCACTCCAGCTCCCAGGATCCAGTTCAGGATTTTCCCTGCTGGAAGGCAGATCCAAGATGGTATCTGGTGTGGGAGGTCCTTCTGTCCATGTGTTGCTTTTATTGATTAATGAATAAAGAAACTGGCTTGGCCTATAGCAAGGGAGAAGGAAGGTAGAGTTGGGGAGAATCCATGGAGCTGCTGCCAGAGACAGACCTGCTGAAACTTTGCTGGTAGGTCATGACCTCGTGGTGATGCACAGATTAATAGAAATGGGTTAAATTAATATGCAAGAGTTACCCAATAAGAAGCTAGAGCTAATGGGCCAAGCAGTGATTTAATTAATACAGTTTCTGTGTGATTATTTTGGTTCTGGGTGGCCGGAATGAACAAACAGCCTCTTCCAACAGGCATCTCTACTCACCTTGAACAGGAAGACAAACAAACAAAAATAAAAAAACCACAAAGAGCTCACTGCAATCAGTTTGCTGGCAAGAAAGCTGGAGAAGCCCAAGAAAGGCTCAAGCGCCAGGTCTTTCTTTAACACTGAGCCTCCGGACTTAGACTCCGGTATAACTCAGAGGAGCAAGAGGATTCCATGTGATGAGAAACCATTCTTTGTATCAAGCAGGATTACTTACTGTGCTGCTGCAAGATCTGTTATCCCCTCCGAGCTTTCATCATCTTGGAGGCAGGGCCTGGACTGTATGCTGTGTTGGCTTGATAGGAACACACTTTACTCTCAAGAAGGATCTGGATTCCCTCAATGAGGAAGAGTTAGAGCAACAAAATCTAATCAGAAAGGCTCACTCCAGGAAATGCCCAAACCAAATGAAGGACTTGAGCAAAGAAAAACAACAACTTGAGAACATAAATGGGGACGTGGGCTCTATTCCAGCCTGGACCGACATTGCAGAGTGGAGTAAACAGATCTGTCTGCTGACTTCTGAGGTAAACACCTCAAAACCAGAACCCTCTTAGCTGTGTACTTCACTTGCCTACCACTGTGAGGGACTTCAGAAGAGTGCTGCTCCCATTGGCAACATCTTAAACAGTGTTCATGTTACCATGGAGGCAATCCTGAATGCACAGAATGGAATTACGGCAGAGTGATGTGGAGAGTAATTTAAGTAAACAGATTATCCCATCACCATCAGTCACACCAAAATTTGGCAATAAAACCCCAGGTGACAAGGTAGGTTTGGCCTGGGAGCTGTAAATAATTCAGGGTGGAATTCGCTAGCTCTAGGATTAGATTCGTTGGCTTTTGATTCTTTGTTCCCATTCATTTAATCCCAGTCTGGGAATCACAGAAGTCTTGTTGGGATTTTTCTCAAATCTCTTTCAGGATTTGATAAGTGTAAGAAGTATTCAGTGGAGAACTACATTTTCCCTTTGAGTGGGTTCCAGTGGTTCTCAACCTTCCTAATGCTGTGACC